AAAAATTTAGTGAAAAAAACCTTTTCATGAATCAAAATTAGTTGGATGGTAATTAAATAAATTTTATAATTTTTTTCACTATACATTGCTTCATAAATGCCTCTATCGTTTTTCATTATCTCAAAAATGTAAAAAGTTTTTCCCAGCACTATATTATGCAGTAAATAAATTTAATATCGTACTTCTTCGGGCTTTCCGCTAGAACCTTCAACCCTTAAGAATTTCATTATTAACTTTTTGAATTCCGTTCAACCCAGCAAACTGTGAAAAGCACAGAAAATACTTATAAAACGCATCTTTTGGGCTTTGATCGAAGCTTGCACGACTTAAATGCGTTTTAAATGTGGTCCGTTTTTTCCTGCAGCCGCGCCAGACTAAAACTCCATTAAAACTAATTAATGTTGCGGCGTTTAAAATAGTTGCATAGTAGGTGGAATGGCGAAGGATAGCGGATGCTTGGCTGCAGCAATATCTGCTTTGCCAGGGAGTAAATAATAATTACTAATACCGTGGCTGCAGCACGACGATGATTATAGTCTGGGCCACGGCTTGCACCGCCACTTCCACCATCACCATTGCCACCACGGGCGGTAATTCAGAGCACAAGGCAGAGCAGATTGCGTAGCACCTCCACCTCCACCACCATCTCCACCTCAGCCCACCTCCATTGGAGCTCTGAGCTGCCAGCGAGGCAATTGACCAACATTTTCAATTAATTTTTGCTCCAATAAGCAGGCGGGCTACATTGCCAGTGGAGAAGTGGGTGCGGGAGCCGACCCTCCAACCCCACCCCTTGACCTCCCATCCCCTGGAGTACCTACCGAACCACCCCACCCACCGTTTCGGCACAAACATTTACATGCCCCTCGGATGAAACTTTGCTTTGGCCTTAACGCACAGTTGAGTTATTTGAAGCGCAGCTGTTGGCCAAAGTCAACCCATGCCACAAAATGTTGCAGAAAGACTTTAGGTTTTCTTTGCAGCTTCTAAGAAATTTATCTTATAATTAACTATTAAGGTAAAAATGTTACTTTTAGACAATCAACATTATAATTTTGTATATATAAATCTTCAATTAATTAAATATCAAAATCAGTAATGCAGAAACGCACAAAAATTATATAAGTTTCTTGAGGGATTCTTGCGGCATCCATTTCGGGAACTGTACTTTCAAGGAGAACCTACGATTTACGGCTCTTAAACGAGTTTTTCCTACCTCCCCCCTTGTTATAGAACTATCAAAATAGTTGTAAATATTCTGGTAAGATATGCTTACAACCATGTACATGTACGCACCTGCAGTTTATATAAAACTCAACCAAACAAGGTGCAAGCGGTTCCATGTGCATTAACTTAAATGCTTTGCGGGCTGGGCACTTTGCTTTCAAAAAGGCAAAACTAAAATAAAATAAAAAGCTTGGAAAAATGTAGAAAGAGAAGGGGGTTCCACTATTGCTAGAGCTGAGGAGTATGTAAAAGGAGCTGGGTGAAAAATGCTTTTTCTAACATTTAGCGATTTTTTAGGTCAGTCAAGAGCGCACGAATATTTTATCATGAAAATACGAATGTACAAGCCAAATATAAATTTGTGTGTGTCAGCCAGGAGGATATAACTTTTTTTCTTTAGTTGTTAGTTCATAAAAGTCAGACACTCTCAAATATTCAGAACGGTTTATGGGAATTTCCCTTTGGAAGTTGACTGCGTTTTCAAATGCGAAACTTATTAACGTACTTCAGGATGTACATTAGAAGTACGAGTGCTACTCGCGGGCTTCTCTAATTGCAACGTCCACAAATGTTGGCCTTGCCACGGCCTGACAATAAGCAGCCTTAAAAACATGGCTTGCAGAAATTGTGAAGGGGCACAAATCGCAGAATGCAACTGAGGTGGGAAAGGGGCAACGTTTTGTGATTATTGAAATAGAGCCCTCGTCACACACACATGCACTCGTTCTGTTTCTACTCCGGTCTCTCTATCTCTCTCTGGTCGTCTCTCTTTGGTGCTTTAAATAATTTCAAAGTCTGCGTACCGCTGAGAAAAATAGGTCAACAGTGTTTTTGTTGTTGTTGTTGCTGCTGCTGTTGTTGCTGCCGTTAAACTGGGCGTGACGGTAAAAGTGGCAAGCTGAAGTTGCAAGCGCCACGCCCCTTAAGGTTCCTTCATATCCCCCGAACTGAATTTCCCGTCCCTGAAGCTTTTCGACCATAAAGTAGCTAGTCCTAAAATTCAGCCAACTTTCACATATTTCTCATTCGCTAACCGCCCACCCGTTTCCCTCATACCTTCTAATTGGGCTGCCAGTGGGCGTGGCAGGGTTGGGGCATACATTCGCACACATAAATTTCATAGGATCAACTAGTGGTTAATATTTGATGGCTGCTGTTTGCGTTTTCCCGTGCTGCAGCAACAGCAACAGCGAACTGCATCCGAGCTAAACTGCAGCGACCTACTTTCCGACAATGCATTTCTGCAGAGGCTGCAGAGCCAAAGGGGGATCTTGGATGGCTTGGGATGGGTTTTTTGGGGTGGTTGGGATTTGGGGGTGGTAAGTGTTATTCGAGGGCTGCATCAACAAGTACACACTGAATAATTTCCAGGGCTCCCGCGAGGAGCGATGCGAGGGGAAATGAGTGAGAACTCTGGTTGCTGATTCTACTTCATGTCTTCAGCCAATTGAAGTGCTGCCTCCCATAAAGAAAGTTGCAACAATAAATGTAATCCCAGGAATATCAAATTGGAAGCGTGTAGTGAAAAATTCCATTTGTCATAGAAAAATGGGTTTGAGTTCCATTAAAAGAAAAAATCCTAAAGTGATATAAATAAATTATGGGATTTAAGCAAGTAAAACTAAACGAGAAACATACAAATATTAAAAAGAAGCCACTGTTTTTTTTTCTGTCATTATAAAACAAATTTAATTTCTAAAAAATGCTGCTAAGGAACTTATTTTTTTGTTTTCCTAAAAATAAAATAAAAATAGGCCGCAACATTTTTTAATTTTTTAAAATTATTTTAACATCATGAAAAACATATATTTCATAATATTTTTTAAAGTTTACAAGTAACGAAGATAAAACTTCTAATTAATTAATATATTTTGTAAACCTTTCCATGAAAACGAGTGAGATGCCCTTAATTCGCTCTCAAGGCTTACACTTAAACAGTGACAACTTTAGCCCTAAACCGCGCCGCTCTAAAACCCTTTCCCCCTTTTTGCAGTCCTTTTTCGCTGACAAACGAACCATGAAAATGCTCTGGTAAAAACTGAAAAATTTCCGCCATCCGTGGGGCATCTTTGAGGGAAGTATTTATATAATTCGTTTATGCATTTAAAAAGTTTGTTTCCGTTTGCTAGTTCCTCAAGGTTCTAGACCAACCGTTTGCAAGCGCTCTTTTATTTTTTATATTTGCAAAGCTAAAACAATTTTTGCCAGCAACAAATAATAAATAAATAACTAAGCAGTGAAAGAGCAAACTGTGCGAAAAATAAAGGAAAAGCTAAAAATATATATATGTGTAAAAGTGAAGAGCAGGCGGAAGATAAGGCAACGGCAGAGGCGAAGGCAAAGGCAACGGCAAAAGCGAGTCCAGTTGAGTCAAGTTGAGTTGAGCCAGGCCATGTCCTTGGGCGACTTCCCACGCAAAAATATTCACCAGCAAAGGTTACCCCAACATATATATATATACACACATACACAGCACTCACACACAGATGCGAGTGAAAGCAATCAAAGAGAATGGCTGAAACAAACACCCACAAACAAATACAGATACAGATACAGATGGGAACACAAACACAGATACTCAACACACCGACAAAGAGAGAAGAAAACAACATAAAAATTAAAGAAGCTTTAATTATTCCCGTTGTTTTTGTTGCCGAGGGGGCAGATATTGGTTGTGAGCTGTGCTGTGCTCTGCTTCTTCTTGCAACATTTCGTCGTTTTTCTTAGAATTTGCACGCTTTCTACATTTACTCGTCGCTCTCACGCACTCTCTTCGCTCGCACTTTATGTACGGCGTATGTGCTCGTCTCTTTCTCGGGTCTGCTCTCCCTGTTTACCTTAAAGCTCTGCCCCACGCTCCTTTGTGCAAAACACGTATAAATGTGCAGCGATTATGGCCAAAAAGATCCTTGTGCCGCCGCCAGATACACTTCGCACGCACAGCAGGACCAAAGATACAAATAAGGATATACAAAAGCATTCGACTTTTGATGCAGATGCTTCGGCTAAATAATAAATAAACCTTAATAAAGCTTAAAAACAAACACCTCTAATTATAGAATAACAGCAAAGGCATTTAATAATTAAGCAAAAGCCAAATCTAGGATTATGCTGAAGGGGTTGTCAGAAGGCAATACAATGGCCTTTACAAAGAAAATTGTTTTCTTTTAAACTAAAAAACTTTGTAATGGTCGAAAAAATAAATATAAGTGCTATAATCTTCTTGACTAATTAAAAATGCAATCTGAATAGTTTCGACTGGAAATATAATTTCTCAAATCTGTTTGTTTATTCGACTGAGTATGTTTAGTCATTTTCATCTTTCCTTGTTGGCTGTTGAGCTGAGCACGAACGCATTTGCCTCGAATGTTTATGAATATTTTATTTACATAAGCCAGTAATAAGCATATGAGTCCATATGACTGCTAAGGGACTCACAATACGTAAGCGAGTCATAATGGAGGAGAATGTTTAACAAACTGTTTAAATTTATCAGCGAGGGGTTAGGTATCAAACTATTAAAGGCTCACAGATTGTGAATGCCTTTTAATCTGTAAAATGTCATGCTAGGATTAACGATAACATAGCATAGAACACTCTCTTATCTCTTCCCTGCTTAAGAGATTGATAATTAAAACCTAGACTGATAAAAGAGTACATAAAAAATAAAAAGATAGTGTTAAGAATCAAAGGATATCGAATTATAAAGGAAAACCTTTCAAGTGTATATCAAAAATAAAAAATAAAATTAAAAGACTTCATTCTAAGCAATATTTATTAAGTCAGTATGCTTTATTCTCAAATGAAAAATGGAATTAAAATAACAATCAAAGTTGATCTAACACAGCCCAAAGCCAAGAGTGAACTTGACCATTCACGGCACCCACTTGTCCACATCCACGGACGAATATTGGCAATCCATCTCCTTGTTAGCCACCGCGGCGCGCTCTTGACGATATCTCTTGCCACCCAGGAGACCTACAATGAGTAGGACAAATAGGAAACCACTGGCAACTCCAATAATGGGTATGGTCCATGGATTCAGTTCATCATCATCGTCGGTGGCCTCGTTTAGACCAAGTATTTGATCCAATAAAGTGCGTACACAGCGAAGTTCCCCGCTTGCTTCAGTATTTTCCTCCGCGGCATAGCCATCGGAGCAGTGACATGAGCCGGATTCTAGACATGTTTGGTGTGGACCACATCCTGTTTTCAGGCAGCCCACCTCATTGCTGTTAAATTGCTTTTCACGACACTCGCCATGGAAGAGGACATAGTTATCGGGACATTCGGTAACCGTGAAAGCAGCCGTTGAACTGGTACTCGATGATTCTGAGCTCTCCTCGGCGAGCTCTAGTTCTTCGGAGATAGATTCGGCACTGACCTCGATGCAACGTTCTTCGGCCTTGTCCCATCGATAGCCAGCGTTGCAGGAACAGCGCTCCACGTCAATGCACTTGCCGTTGGCACAGCCATTGCCAACCTGGCATACTGGGGCACAATCTCCACTCACCCCATATCCATCTGGAAGCAATTGGGTGTAGCCTTCGCGACAGGCGCAGGTATTGGGTGATACGCACTGGGCTCCAGCAGAACAAAGGGTCTGACAGATGGGCTCACAGTAGTGGCTGCCATCCTGGTGATTTCTGGCCGAGACATAGCCAGAAATACACTCGCATCGGTCTGGAGCGGCACAGCTGGCATGGGCAGGACATCCACGAGTACAGATGGGTTCACACAAACGCGATTCCACCTCCAAATAACCCGGGCAGCATTCCTTGATCAGCTGGTGGGTAACCCGCTCCTCGATCGATTCGTATTGCTCAGTGATTTTCTCCGCCTTTTTCCAGAACTTTAACTTGGATGGAGTTCTCACTATGATCCGCTCTTTGATGACCGGAACCGTTTTATGAATCGTAACATTCCTCTCGCAGTAATTATCGCGCTGGGCATTAACTGCAACGGAACCCAGCAGGAAAAACAGGGCCCAGGAGAACTTCATTTTCTGTACACGAGTAGTTTCCTTGTCCGCTCGCAACTGCAGTTGGTACACAACTGATTTTTCCCAGAACAAGAAAAGCGGAGAAGAGCTAAACTGGCCACTCAGGCAGGGAACTACGGGGAGGATCGGCAGGGAGAGAGAGAAGGCAGGCCACCAGATAGGACACAACAACATCCGCACTAGATAAAATCGCTCTCTACACTGGCAAACAAAATCTATCCGAAGTAAACGAACAAAAGTTGATTGCTTCTCTTCTTGTGATTAAGTCATGGTGTCTTTATTAATAGTAACTAAACTTATCCATTTCTCAAATAAGCTTCTTATTTTATTCTTTGTCATAAAAAGCTGGAATTCTATGGCCTTTTCGCTTGCCATCATAGTTTCCCTAAGTGTATTGATCGCCGAGGGTTGCAGCATATCTGAGCCGCTGCCAAAGGTCGCCCTCGGATTGATGAAGCCGTGGTGCCTAGCCTATGACTTTTGAACCTCCCTCCCTTCGCCGAGGCGTCCTCACTTCTCTGTCATTTTCTCTTATTATCATAATCCCAGCTTCATAAGTTGCCCGCATAAATACGGTGATAAGGCTGAATATAACATGCTATAAAAATGCAATTGTTTTCCATTGAGAATCTTTAGCGATATGACTCACAAAGAGCGGAACTAAATGGTTAGCATTATTGTATTTTTTCTTCACCACTTCCTTTACAACTAATAGGAAATCATAATCATTTTACGCCAGTACATTTTACAATATTCGCTTTGCGTGACATAACTTAAAACATGTTTTTAGGTCCCAAACAGTTTTTTCCACTTTATTCTTATCAACTGGTCCTTTTTGTTACCTGCTCATCTGGAGTTTTACCTGCACAACCTGTAATGAGTTGTGTTTTTCTTTTACTACAAAGGGGAAACTCAAAAAATTCCCAGCAGGCAAGATTTCTGGTTACAATTTATTAGACAGAAATAGTTTTCCCATGCTAATATTGGGTTTAATGGTTACGCTAGTATGTTTTAAGATATAGTTTTAGGCTCCACAGAATCTATAAAGCATTCTTAAAAATATTTTTAGATCTTACGTATAAATTGCTGTATTCATTTTCTCCTACAGCTTTGCTTTCATAATTGACCTTTCACTCAGCGCGGCCGAGCAATTATCACAATTGAAATATGATCCCTAAGCGTTTAAACGGTCACTCATTGGCTGGCTAGGATTACTGCGCTTTTTAAAATTGCAAATCAATTTGGTAGGACGAAGCACATAAATGTTTTAGGCACTTGAATAAATTCTAGGCCCCCAGGAAGCCTGACGTCATTGGACTGGCAGCATTCGCACATTTGTTACTTTTGTCACGCTCGTTTCAAGTCGGGATCTCTGGGACAATGTTTTGTTGAGCACATTCACAGTGAACCCGAAACGCCATACATACGAACGCATACGTACATACATATACGAGGATATATGGGCAGATATATAACCGAGTGTCAATGCAGGAACGGGCGGCGTATAGGGCACGTATCCTGTGCCGCAGAATGCCCCAACTTCTTCGCCCTGCGGGCTGACTTTATGGAACATATGAACGGATGAATGACAGCTGACATAGAGACAAAAGTGTGTGTGACACAGTCACATTCTAATCTAAAATAATTGAATTGAAGTCAGATTGCAACTGATGCCTTGGTCTCCGCAGCCAGTAGGAGTGTGTGCCTGTGTTTATGTATCTGTATCGTGCAGAAAAAGATACAGATACGGCACGATGAGCTGCTTTTGAGAATGTGTGCGTTTCTGGTTATCCTGGTTGCTCTGGTTGTTCTGGGTGTGCAAAGTGTAACTGTTGGATAACAGATAAAACGGCATGTGCCACTTGCCACTGACAGTCAGCCCGTATCTGTATCTTCTGCCGATGCTCTCGTATATTTTGTATCTTTTGCAGCCGCCGGTTTGCCCACATCACATATGCGAGGCGCCGCCGCCGCCTAAGATAATTAATGGTTTACTGGGTTTCGCTAACTGGATTTCGGTTTTCCATTGTCTTCGTAGAAACCGAAAACTGAAATGGAAACCATCCCCCTCGACCTCCACTTCACTTCTGGCCGAGATTTCTCACGTCGGCAAGTGCAATTAGGCTCGTGGACTAGTCAAAGTTGTGGGCGCCCCTGAATTATTGCCAAGCTTCGGCTGCGATTCGCGACTTGCTAATTGCCAGCCATAAATTTGCATTATCTCACGTAGAGGTAAACCCCCGAAAAGCGTCCAAGGAGGAAGTCAACCAAGTCTCGTCCGGTCCCTTCCGTGGAACTGTTAAATTATCTAAGTTGCTTGCTGGCGGCCCCAAAAACTTTGGCCCCAGCCCGTGTGACATCTGCTGCTCAAATGCACAGGCACGTAGCTGCCTCCGGAATCAGTTTGGGTTAAGCTGGGTGGTCCTGGGGCCTGGAGGTTGGAGGTGGTTCGTTTGCTATGGACAGTTTAACTGGCAGCATGTTAGGGCATTTCATGGCTAAGCCTCTATCCGCACCTAAGCTCCCCGATCCCCCGTTCACTCGCAGGCGAAAGTTTTGGTGGCACAAAGTTTCCAGCTCCCGAATGATACAACAATAATTTTAATTATAGATTAGCAGACAAATCCTCGAATGAGCACTAAAATTTCACAAATTATGACAGTCGAGGAGGGTTTGCCTATAACGGCGCTTACTTCTTCGTAGATGTACTCGTGCCATGTTGGGACTTTTCAGGACATATTTGGGCCGAATTAAGCCTTTCAGTTCTGATTTTTCAATCAATAAATTTGTAAGCAATAAATCCAAAGAAATTTTATGAAAATGTTTACTAATAAATTCACTAATTCCAGCTCTTTAGTAAAATAAATAATTAAATTTAACAAATTTAGTCTTAAAAAACTTATTCAGGTCATGTCTTAAATATTTTTAACCACTTAAGTCATTTCAAGGGCCTCTTCTTGCTCTTGGTCAGAGCTATTTTTAACATATTGCGAATCGTGCCCACCTTTTCCCTTTGCCAACTATCCATATCTATATTTACCAGGCTCTGCACTGGCCTAGTTACGGCTAATATTAAGTGGTCCAAGACGGAAAAAAAGCCAGAGAATTGTTAACCTTAAATCTCTTTTTCATTCGCGAAGCGAAGGTTAATAGAACAAGCGCAGAAAGCTGAGGGAGAGGTCCAACAAAAAAGTGAGCATTGTTTGTCAGCTTTTGTGCGTTGGACTTGCCAGCTGCCAGTTGGCCCCACTACTGTGACAAAAACACAAAAAAAGTAAGTAAAAAAAGTAAAAGGACACTATGAACGGGGCTGGGGGAGGACACACGTGAGAAACTTTGGAACTGGAAAAAGTGAAACTGAAAACTGCGTCGCCGGCTGTGATTAAAAAAGTAGCGACGCCATTTGTTATATCTGCACACACTTATATAGTAGGTACGAGTATATGTATATATATAATTTGGTTCATGGGCTCCTCATCTCACTTGGCTGCGGCCATTTTCATCCGCTGCAAAGTTTAAGGTCCTTCATACATAAATAAGTAGTAGGCAAAGCGGCGTCGCCTCAAAGCATGGCGGCAAACATCAGGAGCAGTAGAAGGAACAGGAGGAGCAGGGAGGAGCTGGAGGAGAAACAACTAAGCGGACATGACACCCACTAGAAGAGCGCTCTTCAAAAGCGGCCAACAACAACGACGCTCATCAACAACGGCCAAACAAGGGCGATAAAAACAAGCGCAACAAGGACTCTGAAACCCGAGACCCGGAGTCCAACATGACACATCGTCATCATACACGAGCGCCACGTAACAGTCGCGACTGCGACTTCTACTGCCGAGATCCTGACAACGCCTATGTCCTATGTGTATGTGTGTGTGTGTATGTGCTGGTGTGCTGGTGAGTGGGCGGCGGAGAGGCTGTAGGCTGGATGTCCTTTGAGCAGTCACTGTGGCAGTGTGGCAGTCAGTCAGGGCTGCTGGCACATAATTAAGGACATCGTCGGCAAACGCAAGAGGCAAGGAGGAGGGCAGCGCGAAGTGAATTACGTTCGGGGATACTCTTTCTGAATGGCACTGGTCCAAGGACAATAGATTTGCGGTTTTCACTTTCATAGCTATATGTATCTCTGCCAAATTGAATTTTAAAGAAAACAGGAACATTGCCAAATAAAATTTGATATCTAAAATGCAATCTGCTTTCATAAAATAATGAAAATTTGCTAACTCCGAGTTATGGATTTGGTTTAAACTTTATTTATACAACAAATTGCCAATTTAGACTTTCATTTATGAAATGTATTTTAGAGAAGCAGCTCTGTATTAATTTTAAAAGTTTAAAACAACATTGTTTTCAATCGAACAATTTGTTTAAAGTATTTCGCTAGGCTTTTCGTACAAAGTTATTTGTATTTCCAGGGTATAAACCCGCTCTGTACACTTTAACAGCTGCACTTTTCATCTCACTGCCCTGCTGTTTGCATTCGGATTTGCTGACGGGTGTGAGCGTGTTGAGGGGGGCTGTGCTGGGTGCTGGAGTCTGCATGAATGAATGATGAACGAAATGGCTAAAGATGCTGCCTGAATCTGAGAATCAGCCTGAGCCTGGACCAGAATGGGTCTGGGTCTAGGCTGTAGCGCCAAAGATAAAGCCTCAAATGGGCATAATGAGCGTAAGGAGGCGGCAAAGCCGAAAGTGCTCTTGGGCGCTGCCAGTTCGGGACAATGCAGCGCGAATTGTGTCATATTATTAATGAAAAAGAGCCGGGCCAAAATGAGCAGCAGCTAGTGCAAAAGATGAAAACAAAACAGGAAGCCGGAGCACTTTTAATATGCAACAGTAGTCCCCACCAAATATTTCTATCTGTGTGTGCCTCTGTGTGTATGCGTATTTGCGGGCGCGTGTGTGTGCTTTCCGAAATGAAAATGAAAATCAAGCGAAAGCCCAAAAACCACGGCACCAGAGCAAATAAACCGACGACGGAGCGAGCGTCAAGTTATTTATTTGGCAATTGTGCGCTGCTTTTTATTGTCCTCCGAGTGGCTGCTGCTCTGTTTGCTTTTGGGCATTGCTCCGGAACACCCTAGCAAAAGTAACCTACCTACACCCACGCACAGCCCACCAGCCTCCCAGGTCCCACCCCGTCATCCGGCCACCACCCACTTACTGCCAGCTGGGTATTTGAATGTGGCTGTGTGGTCGTCGAAAGGTCAATGGAACAATTTTAAAATGCTTGCCAGAGATGTGAAACAAAAAAGCAAATCAAGTCCAATTTGGAAGCATAGGGGGAAAGTCCGGAGGAGCTTGGCGAAAACTGAAATAATGCCTGCGGTTATGGCGTTAGGTATACGAACGGTCTCTGTGATTATGGCGTATTTTAAGGGCGTGAATCCAAAATATGGCTCGGCATTTTCCCAGCAAGTCTCAGCAGAACATTACATCAAAAACAAAGAATACAGGCAGTACTAGAAAGGCAGGAATACTGGGTACCAGCTACTGCCCTGTTACTTTGAATATTTCTTATTGAAACAAGCTTCTGCTACTTGTTTCCCACAAACCACTAAGGACATAACTTCATTAGGAACTTAAAAAACTTATTTTATCAACAACTACAGATATTAGTTCAAAGTTAAGTCTTGTTGTTTTTTAAGAATAAATGATATGCTTTTAACACCGATTACTAAATAAACTAAAAACGTTAGATGTTCAGAGTTAACTTACCTTTTTCCCCTTCTCCATTTGTCATGCAATCAAAATACTTTCCAATTGGCATTTAAGGATTGAGCTGATCGTGTTGAATAATTGTCTGTAGAATTATTCCTTTTAGTGATTTTTGTAATAAACTTGCTTAGTTTTGCTGGCTTATTGTTATATTTATTTCAAACTTTTTATCAAATTTGTCTCCCAGAAATTGTCGTTTGATAAGTAATGATGTTAATGCAATTAATTTTAGTTCAATAACGATTATTATTTAGTTAGATGCGATTATTGAAATATGCGTATGTATGTATCGAATTAAATCGAATAATTCAATTTCAGTAAATCGAAGATTTTCAAGGACTTTCCGAATTAATTCTTCAGCCAATTGAGCTGTGGTTGGGCTGTCCTTTTGCTTTAACTTACTATTATTAAAAATTTCTTTGCTTTCAATCTTGTGCGCGTTTCAGTTGCTTATCGAGAATTTAAACATCATTGACGAAATGAGTTTTCTATATATAGAATACTTCTTTGTTTTTCTTTGAGTCTGTATGGATATTAAAATTGTTTTGAATTTTGGTATGTATGCATTTTTATGTTTAATGACATTAATAATATTTACAACTGGCTTAAAATGTTTACTCTTGCGTTTTCCATTACCATTATTAAGTTAATATTATTTTCCGTTTGTTTTGTCTTTTTTATAATTACAAAATTGCTTTAATCGTGGTTTAATTCGATTTATTTAGTTCAGCGATTATTTACTTTCACGTTTTTTGTTTTTATTTTCGCAACCTTAAGAACTTTATAATTGCATTTCTCTTGCGAATTTCACTCAACCAAATTAAATATTGCTTAGTTTAATGTTTTTGTATGTATGAAGTTTTATATTGATTTAGTCAGTTATCCGGTTTTAGTTCTGACATCCATGGCATATGTTATGCGTGTCGACGGCTATAAAGTGGAGAAGAATAACATTTAATTTAGTTAATGAAATTAATCATATATTATTCAATGAGCAATAATCACGAGTTTCTCACTTGTTGATAATGGCCCAGAATATCATATCATTCGGTTTTATACATTCGCACCGCCCCCTCCCCACAGCCAGCTGCCACCCACACAATGTGAACATAAAAGTAACCATTGCCATTTATTTTTTGGCACCTGTTATACAGACACACGCACATATGTAAATGAGGGACAAAGAGCGAGCATGGACGAAAGAGAGCGAGAGAGTTGCACTTGACATGTATCTGAAAGATACTTTCCATTTTGAATATTGATGACTTGATGGTCAATTAGCGATTCGCATTCATGCTTCCTTCACAGGATTCGAAAGTAATAGAAACGACAAAATCGGTGGCATAAAAATATATAAAAATAAAATAGAAGAGACAGGAAGGATGTATGAAAATATGTGTACAGCTATAAAGTGAATGATAATGGTTAAACCGATGCCGATGATGATGGAATTTTCACAAACACACAAGCACACACACCAGCACACACCGAGCTCTGGGCAAGAAAGGGACGGACGAAAAGAGAGCAAAAAGGATACTTAAGAAGATAATGTTTTTTTTTTGCTGGCTCCAGAATATCAAGAGCATACTATATAGATTCCTAAACTGTTAAATGGGTTTACCTGCTGGAATTGTTGTGTATATATATTTTTACTATTTTATTTTGCAGGCCGTGTGTGAGTGTGGGCCACACTTGTATTAGTATATAAGATATATAGTATTGTTGTGCACACACACATACACAAACACAGTGGCAGGGGCACGCACAGAGTCACACACTCACACAGACAGACGCGCGCGCACCGTTAGCGACAGACAACAGGCATAACACACATAGGCACACGCACACGAAGACGCACACACACCCGGAGAGGGACGCACGGAGTTACGGATACGGATGCGGACACAGACCACGGGCAACGCGACAGGGCTCTCCGGCTCCGATGGTGCCACTCTCAACCGCTCCACCGCTCAACCGTCCAACCGTTCAATCGTTCAATCGCTCAATCGCTCAGCCGCTGTGCATGGAGGCAAAAGGCAACTGACAGCACAACCCGAAACCGGAACACCAACTGAGCCCGATGCCTGTGCAGCATTGCCAGCCAGGCGGCGCTGGAAATCGTCCTTTGCTGCAGAAGCAGAGTCCATTGGAGGAGCCGAGCGCACGAGAACAACGAGCCAAAGCTTCGGCATCCCACGACACATCATTGTGCAGAAATTCGAAATCCGAGCGCTGCTTGGGGATGCGATGCCGATGTGAAAGCTGGAACATTTACACATACATGCATATACATATATATGTCACGAGTCCTTGCCAGCCGACAGGACTCGTGACTCCATGGAGCCTGGAAAGCATTCGCAGCGAGTGCGTGAGTATGTGTGGCTCTAACAGCAGCTTTCAAGCTCTTCCTGGAAAGCTTTTTTCGGAGGCTGTAAGAGAGCGCCAGGAGATGCGCACTCTCTGCGCTGGTGTTAGTTACCCCTCCTGCGTATACAGGGTGCGGGGCACTCCTGTCGATGCCCATTGGGATGGTGGTTGTGCGTGGTCAACTCAAGATGTTTGGAAATTTACAAAAACAAAAAAATATTAAATTTACAACAAAGCGTTGTTAAGGCTGAAATAATAATAAGGTTAATTATAAACTATTTATTTACTAATCAAATTTTTAGCTAATATATCTTTAATTTTACTTGTTTCTTAAAACATTTATTTATTTATTTCCAATTTTATTTTAAACAAATAATTTATGCCTTTTTACAAATTTAATTTTTTTTTGTTTCTGATATTATAAATAAATTATAGATTTCGCATGTCGCTTAATGTTAAAATATTATGTTTAAATATCTTCAGAAATAATATAATATTTACATAAATTCTATTCTTTTTTATATCCCTTAAACCCATTAGACCAAAAACAAGCACGCCTCCATTTCTCCAACTTTCTGACATTCTAGCTAACTTGACCTACTGCTGCCGATTCTCACCTTCATCAATTCAATCGAAACTAATTTGAAAGTCTTGCGAATACACGAAACACATTCATTCATACACGCAATGTCAAATACACGATACAAGAGCTTACACCCACACCATTGCGAGATTACACGGACACACGAACACGCTGACGTGCACCCATACCGACGCAGGATGCGTAGGTCCAGGAGCCAAAAATGATTTATGACCCCACAAAAAAATTAATTTAAAGTAAGTTCGTATGAATGAAAAATGGCTTTTACAAACGCAAAACTACAGGGCTCCCGCAGAGCGAGAAAATGAGAGCTAAATAGGGAAAGCTGAGAGAAGGATGCTGCAAAAAATACTTTCTCTTTTGACCTAAACACTTGTGGGCAGCTTTCTCTTAAGAACCTCTCCAGCCGAGCTTTAAGCTCTTCGGAGCCTTCCATTGCAGTTATCCCTGTTTTGCCTTCCAGTGGCTCTAAAACCTTTTCGGCTACCGCACCCGAAAGCAAAGTGAACGAAGGACACAGGAGGCACAGGACCTGCTCGGGTTTCTCTGCTCTCATTTTTTTCCCACTTCTGCCAACGGTTGGTATCCATGAATGAAGGCTGCTGATAATGCCAGCACTTGCGCCGAGAACGCAACAAAGTGCAGATGGGCTGTGCCCGAAGCATATGCATCCGCTCCACTTACCCGCCCCTGCCGCACCCTAAAACGAAGTAAGAGGATCTTGCATCAAATACTTGCAGCGCATGTCACACTGGTTTTTTTTACATTTTTAATTATTTTTAGCTTAGCTTACGTATACATAACATTTATTCGGTTTTGTTGCATTCTTTCAGGCAGTTAGTTAAATTACTTCGTTGCCTCTAGTTTTGGGTAATCTGCATATACTTTTCTTGATTATAATTTAAATTTTATTTATTTTATGATTTTTAATGCCATTTTTTATACGTGAACTTCCAATTTTAAAATAATCCATACATTTTCCTCCTTTATTCTAAATTTAAATGTAAATGCTCTAAGAAAATACCAAGCTAATTGAACCTGATTACTTCCGATTAGTTTCCACACTATAATTGAATGAAAAATGCTAACTAGAGTTCCAGCTAATTAATTTTCTCTCTCTATCCCCAACTCATTCCGGCTCAGTTCTCAGTCGGTGGCTTTCAGCCATTGTTGCTGGCATTTGTCGCGGGCTCTTTCAATTGCTTCATTTTTATCACAAACAAAAACACACACTTGCTCGTTTCTTGTGGCTGTGTCAACCACCGCCATCTAAGTGGCCTGCTCCAGTATCCCTGTGTGCATGTGTATTCGTATCTGTAGATGTATTTGTTTCTGTATGCGGTGCTGTGGCTATATCCTTGCTCCTCCTTTTTGGCCCGGTCCACATTGCTTTGTTTGTGCGGATTTTATTTAATTTGCTTGGCACTTTGTTTGCCTGCCTGTTGGCTTATTTGTTTTGATTTTTCATGCTTCGTGTTTTCGCTGGCGTTTTGGGTTTTCCCTCAGTTTATTGTTTGCTGCTTATTTTCAGTTGTCTTAACCTTTGCCTTGGCTGAATGATTGTCAGAATATTTGTTAGTGATTCCATTGCATGAGCAAGATATCACACCGTAATTGAATAGTTAACTCTCTGAATGGGCTAAGTGCTTTAAGTGCATTTTCCGAATTTAATATTTGCCGAAACCAACTCGCGCCAATCAATCGCCCCAAAGTTGACCCATTTCACCACTGTCCGTTCCATGCAAAACCAATGTCCATTTGCTTTGGTCAAACCCCACCAATCCCTTTAGATGTCCGCTCCCACTTGGCAGCCCTGCTCAAATATTAATTCATATCAAGGTTTTGGCATTCATTTTCAATCCAACGCTGCCGCCACACAGCCACCATCAAACACCCGCAAATCTCTTTTCCCTTGGCCCAGTTCCGTTCGGTTGGGATCGTGTAATGAAATTTAAGCAGAATTGTAAACAAACTTGTGCAATAAAATCAACAAACCGCAAATAAACTGCAATTTAGAGCGGAGACTACGGAAAAGCTGAGAATGAGCAAAGCATAGCAAGGCTTTTTATTTTAAAAGTAAGGCATCTGGCTGATTTCACGACCCATTTGCAAGACACTATTTTGCACTGAGCTTGCAGCAAGTGAAACCAGACTGCAATTCGTGGCGCAGAAAGAAAGTGGAAAAATAAAGAAACAAAAAAACGGCGAAAAAATGGAAAGGATGGGAATTTCATTCGAGCAGGACTTTCACAAGGCCGCACAGGAACTGCATTTTGAGGCTTTGGCCAAATTGACAGTTCCTGGGAATTTGCCGTGACACTCAATTGTTTCAATTTGCTGATCTGATTTTTCGATAATTTATGCAGCTTGATTTCGTTTCTCACTTTCTGCTTATTCACTTTTGCAATTGATTTCGTGACTGTCAAATGAATTGTCGCCGGGCGGACAATTTCCCTCCCAGTTTTCGGCACTCGGCTCTTAACCGAAATCTGTGTCGAGGACATCGACACTTAAAAATAGTTCAGCCAATTATTGGGGAATTTAACTTGCTTGCTTGATGCCTGGAGTTAATTGAAGAAGGAGAAGATTGCCAAATGTTTTAAGGACATGAATTTGGCATTACCCGAAAAATAGCTTTAGGCAACAATAGAGAACGTAAAGGAAAACCATTTTAATTAAACGTTTAAAACTAAGCAAATATTTGCTCATGCAAAATCAATCTATAAAACATAATTTAGTTAATATTTTCTTTAGCTGTATTCCCTTATTCGAATTACTCGAGACATAAAAAGCCAGGACTGTCATAATTGCATTGGCACTTGACGTCCCATGCTCATTTGGCATTTCATATCGACGCTCGCTGCACATTATTCATTTCCAACCGAGTCAAACATGATAAATGACATGCGAAAGGAGGAAATTTATTGGCACTTCGATGGGCGATGCAGTTACCATAGCGATTCAGTGAGCGGTATTGATATCGGCTTATCATCCAAGGATGAAAAACCTGAAAGCAAACGCAGCAGGGACAAAGACGTTATCGGAATTTTAATATGTATAAGGCAGTCGGAAGTTTAACCAACGGCAGCTACTTTCGAGGCGTGGCACCTGTACGCGAATCTTCCATTAAGCTCTTCAGTGCCTCAGTTTATACTTCTTCAAGGGGTTACTAGCTTACTCAATGTCATAAAATAAGTGATAATAATAGTAATCTATAAACTTAAATGAAATAAACACTTTGGATTGCTAATAAGAAATATCTTTAAAGATTTAATAAGCTTGTTAAAGATTTTCAATCATTATGGATCTTCAATAGTTTTTATTGGTTTAAGAACAATTTTACTGTACTGCTTAGTTCCGAGTAATATAGTTCTATGAAATTCGATGACCAACAATTCGCTTAGGGTATTTAATACTGCAGTTCCGAAAACGATATTTTCTTTGTTCGGCCATTCGTCGTCCTTCTGCACTGTTTGTACTCCGACTGCTTCGTTCTGGTTGCTTTAATGCAATAATCCTTGAATGTCGGACGCACGAACGAGTTGATAACAATTTCAATTTTTATGACAAGTCAACTTGGCCAGCCATCGAACGGCGGGCAGAAGCAGCCAGTTATCCGGCAACAACGTAAGGGCCAAACGAAACGAACTCAATCGTGCCGATGGCGAACAATAATAATAAGAACAGCAACAATAATAACATGGCCGATTGCACCATTACCGCTCTGAAAACCCTTCCTCCTCCAAATGGCCATTGCTAGCGCCCGCACTTTTCGCTATATATATACACATTCCGATATATATATATATATATATATATGCAGTGTGCAGCCGGAGCGTTATGATTTATTGGCATGCAACACGGCGTTCCCTTCCGGAAATGTGTGTGCAGTCAGCCATTTTGATGCGAGAAAGGCGTGGAGTGGGCGGAAAGGCGGCTTTATTACGGCTGTTGCCATCGAGTAAGCTGAGATATCACTCAATCCGCCTTTTGCACACGACTGTCAACAAATTTGCATCACCATCTGCAGTGCTGCCGAAGCATCCAGCTCACATTCCAAATTGTCTGGCGGTGGATGGCTTAATCTATTCTGTTAGATAGATATTTATATCGATAGAAATCTATATGTATATAAACATGTCTAGACAGGTTTATATATGTGGCTAATGTTCCCAATTTTTTATGTATAAGTTATCAAGCTGAATATTTAGAGGCATTCTATATTTGAATTTTCTAAATCAGAACTTCACAAAACCAACAACTCTCATGTTAGTTATTCCCATTTCAGAACTGAATGCTGAATTTAAATAAGCATGCAAAACTTTTCACTCAATTCATATTCATTTTATTTTATTTTGTTTTATGTCCGACTACCACCGCAAATCCCTAGAAAATGACGTCGATTATTCAATCATTTTGCCATCATCCATTTTGCAAATCCTTTTTTAGCAGCTTCCCACTGGACGGACACGAGACTCTGATTTGTTGAAAGTTTCGTTGTCAGCAGCAATTAAAACAACACCGCCTACGCCCCGATTTACCACCCACTTTGTTCGCCCACTAAAAAATGCACTGAAATTACGAGAGTTTTCTGCAGGACGGCAAAAAACAAAAACAGAGAGTCGTGAAACAAAAACAAATTGAAGCCCGGCCTCGTCGGGCGACCACAAATGGAATGTTTTTACAGGCCTGGAACCGGGATTGGAATAGGAACTAGGACTCGGTTAGATGAGGAGCTGACTGAAATGAAATTAAATACGAAAAAGCATGGAGCCGGAAAAGCACCAACGGGCTATAGTAGCAGGCAAAAAATACATGTGAATGTGGCTTGAAAGTCAGTCAGCGATTTCAGGTCCGTGTCCCTGTCCTTATCCGTATCCGCATACGTGTCCGGGTCCGATTCCGGGTCCGGGTTTGTTCTACGTTCTCCATTCAATGTTGGCATGCCAAAATTTTAACTGCACACCAAATAAATAAACACTGGCATATACACACTGCCAGGCTAGGCGAAATTGTTGTGACTGCAAACGAAAAGAGAAACACAAACTAAATGCAGTCTTGTGTTTCCGGTAATGAAAACTTTACAACTTTCTTGGTAACTCTTTGGCTTTGCTTAATTTACCTCGGCGAAAACAACGAAGCAGAGCGAATAAAACAGAAATTTGAAATTGCTTTCAAAATTAGAAGCAAATATTTTACTCCATTAAAAATATTTCTACTAAAAATGAATATAAGAACATTTCTTTAAAATTCCCATTGTGTCCCGTTGCACTTGTTGTCTCAGTAAATAAGGAAAAATTCTATAAAATCTGAAAAGGTACGAAATTCGGTCAGGGAACTAAGCACCATTTTTGCTACCCGTTGTTTGGACTTTGCCAACCTTCAGAATTGCAATTACAATGAGTCGAGGGAAACACAGAGGAAGTCGGAGTTCGGTTAGGGACATGCATTCCGGATGAGTCCTGTGTGGGAGTTTGGCAAAGAAACACCGTAAACGTATAAAAAGGACAATGCGCTTATTGAAATATTTATGGAAAAGCAAAAAAGCGAGTGGAGAGACTTGAACTCCTCCGATTTCTGGGGAAATTATTGTGCAGTGAGTACGAAGGTTAGGCAAAGCAATTAAAAATTAAACAACGGCCAAGAAGAATGGAGCACGAGAACAAATAAAGACGTTTTAATCATTCGGTTACTTAAGAAATCTTTTACTTTTAAAAGGGAAAGGTAAACTATTTTCTAAAATATTCTTTTAAGTGCTATAAATAAGTTCATTTTAAGTTCCCCAATTTGGTAAAAAGACTTCATTTCACTTTGCCATCCAAGTGACTTCCGCTGAATCCCTTCCAAAGACATAATTTGTCATAAATATCATTCGTATAAGTAAATAGTATGGCACTTTCGTGTTCATCGTATGAAAACGAAAGAAATCACAGAGAGTCAAGAGCGGACAAAAAACGGGAAGCAAATTTATTTTGCGGAACTAAATTGAAATAATTTTGGCAGCTGAAATATGTAGGAAAATATTTTAATACCCATATATACACACTCCAAAATGGAGAGTCTCTGCAATAGAGCTGGGAATCCCAGACTTGCTGGCAAATAAAAACAGTTTGGTGAGTGTGCAGATATCCCTTCGTCTGTCTACTTCTTACCCTGAATTACCCTCCACTTTTCCTGAACTCCCGACCATCTGCAATGCTTCTGGCAAATGTGTCGGCCGTCCTTTGCCTTTGCCATTGCCTTCTGCGTGCTCCAGCTGGCATTTGGCCAAGTCTTCGTAATTTCTTCTTCTTTTTTATTGCATTGGCCAAAAAGGAAAATGCAGCTAAAGCGCCGAGAAGGCAAACAAACAAGCGGCAGACAAGGAGTACATATTAAATTTGTCATTTTAGCGCAAGGACCGACTTTATATATCTGCGAGGACATTGAAGTCAAAGTTCGTCCGCCGCTTCAAGTTGTTGGGATAGTATAATTTAAAACCGCATTTAGGCATGCAAATCAAATTCAATTGGTTTGTGGTAAAAGAGGAAAACGCTTAGGAACAGAAAAGGAAAAAACTGTACAGAAAATCATAATTTGTGGACGCATAGTTAAATTTTATTAGGTCGCCTAAAGGAATGCTATAGAAAACCTCCATTAATTAATCACCAAAAATAGGAATATGATAAAGGCGTATGAAATTCGTCTGATTTATGTTCTTCTACGCTGTACAGTTTACCAATTCTAATAAATAAGGCATAACTAATGTGGTTACTGCCTTCAGGTCACCTGAATAAACTACCTTGCTTTATATTGTCTATTATTTTAGCAAACAATACAAGATATTGCTGGCTCTCCTCTTTAGCTACTAGTATATTATTATTTTTCTGCAAACAATCAATTTCTCTTAATTTACTACCTTCATTGGTTGACCTGGTCAACCGCACTGCAATTATATACCGATGGCATTGAGATTGTTTCTATTTCAGTTGCTAAGCCCTATATATACATCGTTGTCCGGGACCTTTTCACTCAGTTTCGATTTGCATGGCAACCAAAGCAACAAGGAGAACAACAATTTTGGCCCAGGCTCAGCGTTTGCATTATTAAACATCGCAGCAATGTGGCAACAGGCGAATTTGTACAGTCATAATCGTTTTAGTCGGAGAGCTTCGGGTTTTGTTCAATATCTGTTTCAGAATATTTCTGCTCTCTGCAGTGCTTGTTGTGGCTTTTCTGCTGTGGTTATCCCATCCTCTAGAACTATTTCCATATACAACACAACAGTAATTTCTCACTCCAGTTTCATACGTGCATTCATACACCACTTCGTAATGCCGTCAAAATCAGCAAATAGGATAAAGTAAATGTGAAATGTGCAGGTGAAAGACAAATAAGCCAGACCAAAGCCGACCCGCAGAGATAAAAAGAGAGCGACCAACTGAAGAGATTTCAACTATGCAGTTGCAAAATTTAATTGAAATATGCATGACTGTTTGGACAATGAAAAATGAAATTTTCCATTCCAGCTGCGTTTGCATGCAATTATGATATTTGCAAACCATTTAAACATTTTTTGTTTTCCTTTCATTGAGGAGTAATAAGAAAGTACATAAAATTGTTAAAACATAAACGGAAGTTTTTCTGCTATAACTACTACTTTTTTATTATCTGTACTTAGCATATATTGTACTTAAACATACAAGATAAAGACTCGCTAAAAACTTTAAAGATTTAAATCCAAAAGTGTAAGGCCCTAACCCATAGTACAGATTATCTAGCTTATGCATTTTGCGAGTTCTTGAAACAGTAGCAGAGCTTTTTTTACCGTTTACTGAAAGGTGGGCAAATGTTTTCCCTTCGCAAACGGCGGCTAGTTGATCAACTGATTACCTCTATCTTGACGGGCTGTCGGCTGGATTCTCGAGCTGCTGCAATAAGATAAGTGCTTTGGTTACAAAAATCTAGATTCATGGGTTTAGTCTGCGGCGAATTGTGCCACGCGATGTACCCACTTTTAGTTAGTCTCCTGCTGCTGATCTTTTGCCTCAGCCACAGGGCAAGTTGCCTGCAGTTGAGGAACTGCAACAAGACAGAGGTGACCTTGATAAGGGATACGGAGCTTTTGACTTCACTCACCTTGAGCAACTGCAGCCTGCCGCATCTGGAGAATGCCTTCTTTGTACGTTTCGATCATCTGCTCCATTTGGAACTGCAATACAGTGGACTAAGTGATTTGGATGACTTTTCGCTGAATGGCTTGACCAAACTGCAATATCTCTCCCTCTGCCACAATAACCTCAGCACTCTGAGACCCTGGTCCAGTGAGCCTTTGAGAGCATTAACCAATTTGGATTTGAGTCACAACAGATTGACCAAGTTGAGGGCCAGAAATTTCGAACTCTATCCACAGCTGCAACAACTTGACTTGCGTAACAACCAAATCAGTCAAATCGAGGAGGACTCCTTTTATGGATTATCCCATTTGAAGCATCTCCATCTGAATGGAAATCAACTGGAGCACATAGATGGCACCGTCTTTCACGGTCTCCATCGCCTCTCCAGTCTTGCACTTCAGCATAATCTTATAGAAGGCATTGACATGGATTCCTTCGAGGGAAATACTCATCTTCGAAGCCTACGACTGGATCAAAATCATCTGAGCAGTCTTCAGTTTCTCAGTCAACGAGGATTGGCTCGACTGGTTCACTTGAATTTGTCGAATAATCTTGTTGAGAAACTGGAACCATTAGGATTTTCCAAAAATTTTGAACTTCAGTTCCTGGACTTGAGTTACAATAACCTAACTAAGGTTGATGAGGGTGCTTTGTCGGGATTGGAATCATTGGAGGTAAGCTTTTGAGGCAGTTTTTACAATGAAAGGAATTTTATAATTGAAATCTACATCTAAAGGATGAAGTTAATGGATATACAGGTTTTTTATGTTTTCATCTAATATCTAAAACATATTAGTGGTAGAAGTAGTTTTTATTTGATATCATTAATATTTAATATTTTATTTTTCCCCACTAAAGCGCCTTAATATAAGTCATAACTATGTGAACATAATGGATAGCGAAAGTCTGGCGTCGCTTGTCGCACTTATTCATATAGATGTCAGCTATAATGGACTGAACACTTTACCCGAGTCCTTATTCCATGCCAACACTCAGCTGGAGGAGATTATGCTTGCCAACAATCAAATAGGACAGTTATCCCCACAGATGTTCCACAACCAAAATCATTTGAGATATATTAAATTGGCTGAAAATGGACTTGGCGAAGCTGATTTTCTAGAAAAACTATCACCTTCCCTCAATCGCCTTTCACTTTACGTAGATCTCAGCTCAAACCGTCTTAAGTCTGTGAACCTCAGTAAGCTTCTTCATTTTCGTTACATCAATTTGGCGAATAATAACTGGGACTGTGGCTGGTTGGTTGCAAATTTGGCCCGGAAGCTACCAAGTTCTGTTAATTTCGCTCGTCCCTGGAGTGTAATTAATAATTGGAGTGAAAATATTACAAATATCGAAGGTGTAGACTGCTCTGAGGATGGGAGTAATCGATCCATTATCTTGCTGGATGTGAGTTCAATTCCAAAGCAAAAGACAGACAATTGCGAGTGTGGGGTAAGTCAAATCTAACTTTTTAGAATGTTTCATCATTTTTGAATTATTTTAGTTAATCTATGATGATAGGAATCCATCGCCGCCTCCTCTCACTTGGCCTAAGATTCCCACAGATCGTTTTGATTCAAGATCAGTGATTATCTGGATGTTAATAGCCATTGCAATATCCTTTGCAGGACTCCGTTGGCTGAGACGATTCGTCGATCGCAATGAGAAACGTAAACTGGAGAGAAAGGAGCCGAACAATGTGGTTTGTAAACAAATTTTAAAGCTTTGATGTTGTTGGTGTAAAATTGTTTGATTAATATAAATTATTATTATTTACTTATCACACCTGCTCGACTTTCTCGCTTATCAATAACCCCTTGTTTATTTCAGCACGTCAGCAAAGTTCAGTGGCAGCCCGTCAGGAACGATCAAGAGAGAACGTAGCCTATTTTATAAATAAAATGTGCATCGCTTTCAAAAAACAAATATATTCAGTTCAAAGTGTCTTAAATTCTAAGGGAATTGTTTGTTTTAAATGATAACAATATAACCTTTGAGTAATAAAAACTAAACCTAGGCTAAGAAATCCGTGAAATGTTCCTTTTACTTGTACATCCGCTCTATGACTTTGGCATATTTGGCATGGACAATATTTCGCCTGATTTTTAATGTGGGACCAAGTTCTCCGGTGGCCAGAGAAAACTCATGGGGGATGAAGGCGAATTTCTGGACTTTCTGGGCATTTGAGATGGCATGCTTGTTGGCTCGCTTAATGCCCTCCTCGATGGCTTCCAGGAGCTTGGGCTCTGCGGTGATCTCCAGGGCAGCTGCCACAGCTGCTGTATCGTTGGGAAGTTGAAGATCGGCAGGAATGCTAAGAAGGGAGGAGAGACGAGTCTCATGAATACCGATATTCTGCAGCCATTCTATCGTCTCCTCCCGCAGGGCATCCAAGGGAATCCCCGTCTTGCCGTCGGACTTTGTCTTCAGGGAAAGCAGCACTGTGAGGTACTTGCGATGATCACCGATTAGCAGTACATTGCTAACGCAGGGAAGCTCATTCTTGATCAGTTCTTCGATGTGGGCAGGGGGAATATTTTCTCCACCGGCGGTGATGATCAGTTCCTTGAGACGACCTGAGATTATCAGGTTTCCCTTGGGATCAATGTAACCCAAGTCGCCCGAATACAGCCAGCCATCCTCCTTGACTGATTCCTCAGTCTTCTCAGGCAGTCCCAAATAACCCCATGAATATGCTGCGTCCTCGCATCAGGATCTCTCCTTGACCATTACAATCGGGCTCACGGATCTTTAGGCTTAGTCCCTCGCACGCTTGACCAGCACTGTATAAGTTGTTGATATCAACATTCAGGGTAATGGCACCACCACTCTCGGACATTCCATAGCACTCGCCCAGTGGAATGTCCAGACCTAGGAAGAACTCCTTCATCTCATGGGAAGTGGGTGCTCCTCCGGTCAGAAAAACCCGGCAGTTGTCCAAACCCATCATCTCACGAATGGGTTTTATGATGCGAGAAGCAAGCCAGTACTTCGTATTTCCATATATAGAGGGGGTTTTTCTAAAAAAGGAAAATTAACCATTTGTTAAAAAAAATGTTGAAATCGTTTTGAAAAAATATAATCCCCTACGATTATCTCAACTCACCCCGCCATCAGGGTTATCTGGTGTTCAGCCACAGCAGCTCTAGCCCTAGATAGGAGTAGTCTTGAGAACGGTTTCGCCTTGGCCTCCGCGTCCACCAGTCGTTCTTGAAGCTTCTCAAAGACGCGTGGAACTCCGAACATTTTCGTTGGCCTTGCCTTCCGAAAGCTCTTGATCAGCGTTCCCTTGAGTGCATCCTTGTCCGCAAATGTAACACATCCGGCATGGGTTAGAGCCAAAAAGACGTCGAATATCTGGGCAGCAACATGACTCAGTGGCAAATAGCTCACAAAATTCTCTTTGCCAATTTGCACATCCTTCAGTCCAAGCGCCGCGGATTTTGTATCGAAGACTATGTTGTCATGGGACAGCATTACGGCCTTGGGCATTCCGACTGTACCCGAAGTAAAGATCAACATGGCACACTCGTTGGCACGGATCCTGCTCTCCCGGGCCACTAGTTCCTCTTTGAGTTCGTTGGAGAAGGTTCGCTCCTGCAGCTTCTGCCAGCTGTAATAGCCGGGTTCCTGATCAACGAAGGCTTCAAATGGTCCATGCAACTGGATCACGGCCTTAAGGCGTGGCAAGCGTTCTTTAATCGTCCTCAACTTGGCCATTTGCTGGGCATCGTCTACAATACAAATAGAGGACTCTCCTGTGGCTAAGACATGGTATACCGCTTCAGCCGAGTTACTAGGGTAAATTCCAGCTACAACGGCTCCAGCTCTTAAGGTGCCAAACTCCGCCAAGAACCATTCAGGACAATTGAAGGCCAGGATCCCAACAGAACTGCGTTCCTCGACTCCCACACTCAACAGCATCAGAGCAGCCTGCTCGACTTTTTCCTGGTACTCCCCATAGGTCAGAGTAGTCCAACCGTCAACTCCTGATCCTGGGGTTTCCCACACCAAGGCTGGCAGATCGGCATAATTTTCACACGCTTCTTTAAAGAACTGAGGAATGGTCTGAGGCTGGACTGTCTGCGAAAAGGCTCCCGGCTCGTCCAGTCGCAGTTTGACGGCTTCGTGAAGCGAGGTGCTTGTATATTTCGTAGCTGGCTTGAGGTCGTTCATGCTGCAGGCGATCGCGACGAATAAACTCGGTTTGGTTCTGACCAGGGGTATTTATGCCATCGCACCCAGATGCTGATAAGCACTGAGATCTGTAGCAGGCAGAGAAACCGGAGATCCGTTCTAGGCACTGTGGTTAAACCGAGGGTTTTTGGGTTTTACTGGTATTATAAGGGGGTTAAAAAACAGACAGACAAAGCTAGGAGAATAGATTAGGATTTTAGGGAAGAGGAAGATTTTTTCAAGGATATACCCCTTTAGTATTCTGAAAAGTTTATTCCTTTACTTATTCCTTATTATTAGTTTAATAATATTCTGAAAAAGTTGTGCAACTTGAAAAGGATTTTTAATTACAAATAAACTAAACCTAAATAAACCACAGTGCCTCAGAGCAATAAATAGGTTACCGGCTTTGGTAATCACTCGAGCCACAAGCAACGATTAGTCAAGAGTTCTTGTCTGTCATTTGAAATACATTGGTTGATCTCTGGGCATGTGCTATGACTTTTGTGTATGATTCGGTCTTTGACTGATAAGAGCATAAGTCTGGGTCTTTTGCTCTCAGTGACAACAAACCTCTAACACTGATGTCGATAATTATAATCAAAAGGTCTCCGTCTCGAAAATTCGGTCAGTGATTTTTGTCATAGAATTCGAATGCCAAAGCGTTTTCAAAATATACTTTCATGGGTACAAAGGTCTCTAAGAGATAGAGTATGAGATTATATTTTCACTAAATTTATATGTTTAATAATATGTATTTGGGTGGACAATGCCATTTAATATTAATATATAGAACAAGATGTAGTAACGTAAACCGAAATCAAACTTAACTTTATAAAGTTTAAAAACCTAACCTATGACAACAATTGGAAAGCAAATATCCAAATAATAATACCATATAAATATATTTAACTTTTGCTGGAATGTCAAGGAATACTTGGAATGATTATTATTAAGTTTCCCAGGTCTTAAGAGAATTTAAATAAATATGTTTGAAACTCAACCTCACTAGACAGTCGTTTACAACAAAACTGACCTTCGACAATCGAGGGGCAGCTGACTTTCAATCAGGTAGGTTCAGTTCATAATTGTCAGAGTGAGGTAAGTGGGTTACCGGGCACCGTCGACACATATGTGGAATAAGACCCATACGCCCCGTAACCCAGGTACTTGCAACTGTGTGGGAAACATGGTTTTACGGCCGGTAAATCCCCTCCACCTCCATTTTCCCCACTTTGGTCAGTCAGTCGCATTAGACATATGCCATATACACACACGCACTTCGTCACATACACAAGAAGGGTAGGGGAAAAAACTTTCACACACAGGCCAGCTGAAAGGCAAAACAAAACGCAGTCGAGCTGCCTGGCCAGCTGGCTTAACATTTCTGGGCGCCTGGTGGTCAAACAGTCATTTTTTGTACAAATTTATAATTTATTGTTTAATTTATTTTATTGCTAAGTGTCAAATGGCCCCGGCCATTCACATACACTGAAAATCATGCAACCAAATGCGATGAGTTTCGGGACATGTGATAAAATGAAAATATTATTAACTCAACTGTAATTGTTGCAATTTGCAGCTTATCTTTTGTTATGCTCGCAACAACAACATTATTATGAAATTATTTACCAATGAACAGCAGCTCATGAATGGGTAACAAGTGCACCCATTGTCTCTGGGCTCTACTATCGCACTGGGGGGTGTGGTCGGGGGTCTTTATTGCATCAAAACGACAACACAAATAGTTGCAATATTCTGCTTTCCCCATTCGCTTTTTTTATATTCCACTAGCAACTATATAAATAAATAGATATATATGAGTTTTGTTCGAGTGTGAGTGTGGCATGTGTAACGGTACATGGGACTTATATCAACTAATGCCAGGACAGAATAAAAATCCAAACATATATATATATATGTATATATGTATATATGTATGGGCAGGGGCTTGAGGGAGGGGTGTCAAAGCAAATGTAATCGGATGTACGGGATCTGGCGCAAACATGGCCATATAAGCATCTGAAAAGGAAAGCGCACCTTAAATGCGAACTAGCAATAAAGCTAACAATAAATTGGACAGTGAAGATATCATAAATTCTATAAGGGTGGTTCGGGAGCTAAGGCGTACTTTAATTTAATATACGATTTCCGTAAATAAATAATACTTAAATTATTCTTTTATATTTTAAACTGATATATCTAATAGATAGATATTATCTACATATACAAATTATTTTGCAAGAGTAAGTACATCCTAGACGGACTTGGACCACCCTAACAAGAGGGTCCCATTGATTCGTTCAACCAATTGACTCTAAATCGGGAAATTGACAAGCTTACATACATACACACTTTCACACACATACATCAACAAACAGACGGGCGCACTTGGCGGATACATATTGAAAGTGATTTGCCATATCTTCGGCTGTGGTCATGGACTATATCGATATGCAAACCCCTCAGCCATTCATCCGATCGGCCTGGCATGTGTAACAATATGTTTTGTACATATTTACACGCCGCCCATCGAGTGACCTAATGTGCGGGCAGTGGGCGTGGCAAATGGAAGGCAATGGGATATGGACGATGGGCGAATGTGAATGGTGGTGGCGCATGTCTGGGACTTTTGTAGATTTGTTTGTGTACATATAGATATAGCGAAACCACCCGGCGCACAGCATTGATTAGCAGGCGTGAAAGAGCCGAGCCAAAGCAAAAAGTTCATGCGAGCAAAGCGGCAGCACGAGCAACAATAACAACTAGCAGCAAACAAACAAGTACACACAACAATAAGGAAACACATTCGTGCACATACAACAGCCATACACTTACTCACTCACTCACACACACACTCATATACTGAAGAGGGGGCAAAAAAGGGGCGGTAGAGATAAACAGCATTTATATTCATGTACCAACCAACAACACCAACAGAAACAACAACAACAGCGGCAGCAGCAGACATAAAAAGCGAAACGAAAATCAAATAACATGTGTACACTGTACATATTGACAAACAAGCGGACGAACGACATACTTACGTACAAGTATGTACGGATATGTACATTTTACATACATACGTATGTACCCCTGCAACTCATTCAAACTCATTTCTATACCAGCTATACTCACATTCGGAACCAAGTCTCTCTCCCTTTAGCTCTCTCTCGGTCGCCCCGATTCTGGTTCTATATCTTTGCCCCTCCATTGGCATCGACTGGCCAGCCGCATAAGTAGCAATTACAATAGCAACCGGTATTTAAAACTGTTTTTAATGCCCGCATTAGCACGAAAGTGAGATGAAGTCCAACCAAAGATCGATGGCCAGGTGACAAAATTGTCGCCAGTCGAACAAAACGCCAAGCAAACTTATGTATCGACTGTGGAATACCCACTAAAATAAATATATTAATAGGACTACTACTTAGGGATCATTTAAAATAATAATTAAACTTAATGAAATCCATTCTAAACACATTTGTAGGGCAAAAAACCTAAAAAAAATAAACGAAGGCGGAAAATACATGCTCATCATTAAACGTTGACCTTCTTTTTGATTTTGTCGTCAGAGGAGTCAGAAGTTCAGCTTGAGTGCATTTGCTGATAATTTCTAGGAGCTAATCGGTTCAACTGCACCGGGCAGTGCACATATAGTATGTAGATGCAACCCATGTAAGAGTCATCATTACTGTCTCTATCATCGACGATAGACGTCGGATTATCAGGAGTCACACTTTCCCTCTCTATTGCTCTATCTATCCGCCTCAACTTTTCAGGGCCCGCATTTTGTTTTCGATGATGCCTCGATTTTCTGTCGTCATTGTTGATCAGTGGAAAATTCTATGTAGCATTGATTGCCATGGAGCGAAATTGTGCATCCTGCTCGATCATGGAAAGCGACCAATGACGGTCGTAATTTTTCCAAATGGAGCAGAACGCTTTTCCTGGCTGTCTGCTCAAAGATTTAAATCATTAAAGACCATAAAATGAATCTTAATAACTAGACAAGAATTCAAATGAATAAAGCTGAAATGGCAAAATATTTCCTAAAAGCAATTAGTTTACATAATTTAATTTATTTAATTAATTTGCGTTAATTAATTCCAATACTCAACATTTTACAAATTTTTCGAACTCTGTTGATCGTGAGACAACGTGCCCACCTTTTTCGACCGCATCTGTGCCACGAACCTACCTTTATTTACTGGCTGCGACTGTCGACGTTTCGCTAAACGCCGCCAGCCGATAATCACAACAAATAAAGTCGTTGCTCATCGGAGGTCGTTGTTGTTGGTGTACCGTCGACTGCAACGTCAGCTGCGACGTCGACTACTACGCTGGCTGCGAATGATGGCGTGCCGGTAAGCAATTTCGAAGAGCGCTACGTCATCACCGCCGGCATACAACAACACAAATGCTGATTGGCATGCGAACAGGTCGCATTGCCTACATACGGTTACATATGTTGTACATATTCACATGTTCGTAAACTGAGAAAAACAAAATAACACTTTTTAAATTAGTTTACGAGAAATAGAAACAGATTTTTTATATTTATTTTTTATTCGTTCGAGAATATAATAAAAGAAAAATTCACAAAAAAATGTTTCATAAAGAAGCGTTCGAGAATTATGAGGCACCAAATCCCAAATTAGATATCAGGCGATTATAATTATTGTTAAAAATAGTTCTTAAAGTGGAACTTATATCTATTTTTAAAGATTTCAACTTATATTTAGATATTTTATGTGTAGCTTTGCATATTTGAATACTCTTCTCGGCGTCACCTATTACATTTCAGTTTCATTCCATTTCTGGTTTTGGCTTTCGCGCTGCCCTGCTATTGCTCATTACACACACACAAAAGCTTAAGCACACACACACGTTGGAGAATGTAGATAGACGGGTATGTAAACTTGTGTATATGTTACATACCTACGAATTTGTGAGAACGTCGCCCGTTACCGTTTTAGCTTTCATGGGGTAACATTAACCGCCCCTCCTGCTCGTAGCCCCCTGTCTACCCAGCCATTCGCCCCATACCCATAACTACACAATGCCGTCGCAGCAATAGCAACAACAACATCGGAGCATTGCACACCACACACACGCTCCTCTGCTCTTTCAGCCTGCTAATCGTTTCTGCTCGCCTGCTGGCTGCTTATGTTTATTTGTATATATCGAGCAACACAAACGCACAAAGCTCATATGCAAAACCCGCCCGGCACATACAACTCTACTATACCCGTATGCCCGGAGCACCCGTACACCCGTATACCCCTTTACCACCATACACCCTCCGCCAGAAAGCATCCTCATCCATCAGAGCTCGACTAACAAACGAACACGTGTCTGGTTGCCTAGTCCGTCTCGCTGTCGAGTCGTGTTGTATGTTGTCCACTTGCAAAAATTAACTTATTCCAAATAATAAATTAAAAATATTTACATAACATTTATTCAGATATTGAAAGAACCCGATAAAGTACTAAATTAACTTTCTGATTAAGATCATCTCAAGTTCCTATATAGGTTCTAACTAACTTTTTATAGGAAATAACATATTACACATATTACATATTATTTACGAAAATCAATAAGTAATATTATAATATTACTATCTTTAACATATACATTTTGAATAACAGTTTTAAAAAATACTTTTAAATAATTTATTTATGGGCAAATGGGGTTTAGCCTTTTTCAAGGAACACTATATACTATTTATTATATTATATTTATTTTATATATATTATTATATTTATTACATTTTTACCCCAAGTGTAAGCATATGCCTTCATACAAACTTAAGCAGAGAGCTAGCTGTAAGAGCATGTTAGCAGACCAAGTATTTGCTTATGCTTAAATTTAGAACAAGTCGAGGAAACCCATGTTGCTCAGCTGATTTTGCGTAGATGATTGTTCAGAGAGGAATCGTTATGCTTATATGTACATATGTACCCAACCACAAAATGTTAAGTTAAACTATAAAGTAAACAACATATTTGCCATAACAAGTCTAAAGTAAAAACAACCTTGGCCTTCTGCGTGGAATTTTTTATAATAAATAGTTAGTCATTCAGAAATAAAATAAGTTTATTTGTTTTTCATTTCTTTGGTTTTTATTTAGCCATTTCATCAGGATGTATGCTAGAAAATATATTTAGAAAAGGGTTATAATTGTGTTGCTTTTACCAACATAAATAATACCTACTTCTCAATAATATTTTAATAAAATACACACAACATGTTGCATCGATCGGTTGGCACGACATGAGACTCCCAACTTTTGTTGTGTTATTATTTTCCCCACTGCGATGCAACCGAAGCGAACATGCTCGAGCCAAGGCCGATTCTCAACTCTCCAAACGGTCGTCTCGGTACATTTCCAATGCTGTAGATAAGGACGTCTTGCGATGCAAAAAGAAATAATAATAAAAGGCCGACAGACTCACTTATCGTACGACTGAAGACTGCGATGATGTACACTTAAAAAAACCGATAGATTTTGTATGGTAAATGCATACTTACGTATGTTCCCATGAAGTACACAAATGAAGAATCTACTTTGAAACCTAAACTCAAGATATTCCTTCGGATTTCTTAGGTATATTGGTTTTTGATTTACCAATAATCATATTTATAAATCCATACTTTTTCAATTTAATGTTTAAGATAAATTTATTATTGGAACTGATATTTTTTCCAAGTGAGTATTAACAAAAGAATCGTATTGGCTTTCTCTTTAATCTGCGGCGACTGCGTTTAGTGCACTTGCGACGACGTACGCACAATCTTGAGCCCAGCCCGAAGTGAGACCCCATCAATGCTGCTCAAAGTGCTGTGTCCTGTTGTGGGATTCGTCCTTATGACGTTGCGATTGGAGGTCAGCAGCCTGGCCATCACCAATGGCCATTGTCAGAAGAACATCAGTGTCAAGTACCAGGTACCGGTGACCAAGACCCGCTTGGCAGGTCGATCAAATTTCAGCCAACCAATTGATTTGGATAGCTATGTGGTGTTCGAAGAACGAGTGAGGTGGGATAACATCCAAGTTTGCTGTCCCGGATATCGAACCATCCTGTTTGGTTTCTGTGAGCCCGTGTGCCAGGAGCCGTGTCCCGCCCACAGCTACTGCGCCGAACCGGACCGCTGTCATTGCCAGCGGGGCTACGAGCCATCACACCACCACACCACCCACCGACCCACTGGCCACCAGCTCGTCTGTCGTCCGGTCTGTCAGGGTGGTTGTCCCGAGCATAGCCACTGTGTGGCCCACAACGAGTGCGAATGCTGGCCGGGATTCAAGGATGCCAGTAGTTGGTTCAGCATGAGCCTGCGTTGCGAGCGGATTCAGTGTGGCCATGAGCAAAGATACGATCCAGGAAGACGCGCCTGTGTCCAGATCGAGATGAGCATGGAGGAGCTGATGCAACGCGTGGCCGAGCGATTGTCCAAGGGACTTGAGACGGGAACGGAGTCAACCAGCGAACCAGAAACCTTTAAGCCATAGGGCGTAGAAAGGTGAATACATATTTTGTAATCCAATCTACTAACAAATCATGTATTAAAATCTTCAATAAAGTAAAACTATTACCTAAAAACCAAATATTTAAAGATATATATTCTCAGCTAATAACAAAGTAAGACACGAACAATTTCCCAGTTAATAATCTAGTTTATTGTTAATCTTCAGACAATAAAAAATGTTCATTTGTTCAGTTGGTACAACCAAATATCATATAGAAAATAAATCTTAGGTACTAATTAAACAGATCTCTGGACCTACACGGAGGCAAGCTAATGTCTAACTAGGCATACGGGCATAGTTGTCCTAAGTATAATATCCAACAGTTAACATTCGCCTAAATCCTATCAAAAGTGGCACTCAATTGGCTTTGAAGTCCGGTAAATTCAAATTCACATTAAAGCTCAAGTTCCCGCGGCTACCTCTCTTCTATTCCGTCGAAGGAAATCTAGGCATATAGTTTTTCGATCTCATCGGCATACATCTTGGCCACAACGTTGCGCTTGACCTTCAGGGTGGGTCCGAGTTCACCGGTGGGAATGGAGAAGTCATGGGGCAGAATAGTGAATTTTTGCACCTTCTGGGCATTGGAAATAGACTGCTTATTGGCCCTCTTGATGGCATCCTCAATGGACTTGAACACCTTGGGGCAGGGTCCAGCGGCGAGAATCTCCGACAGGGTCTTGTGCTCCACTCCCAGTGACTTCACCCACACGGAGGACTCGTGACTCAGCTCGTCCAGAGGCTCGCCGGTGTCCTTGTCCAGCTCGGTCTGGAAAGTGGATATAGTCAGTCAAGGTCTTAAAAAATAAAATTCTTCTTGGCCAGGACTCACCTTAATGGTAATCAGCACAGTAAGGTACTTGCGCTGCTCGCCCACCAAAAATGCATTGGAAATGGCGTCCAGTTCCTTCTTAATCGAGTTCTCGATGTGCACGGGTGGAATGTTTTCGCCACCGGCGGTGATGATAATCTCCTTAGAACGTCCAGTAAGAGAAATGTATCCCTTATCATCAACATAGCCCAAATCACCGGAGTGCAGCCAGCAGTCGTCGTCCAGCGACTCCTCGGTCTTCTCCTTGTTGTCGATATAACCCATGAAGACGTGGCGTCCACGGATGCACAGTTCTCCGTGACCGCTGGCGTCCTTGTTAATGAACTTGGACTCGCAGCCGGGCAGAGTTTTGCCAATTGTGTTCAGACCAACCGAATCAGAAAGACAGATGGAATGGCAACCGGCCGTTTCCGACATGCCAAAGGCATCCACAATCTTCAGGTCCAGACTGAGGAAGTACTTTTTCGTCTCCGGCGACATAGGAGCCGCAGCACTGGCCAGGGTCAGGACTCGATCGAAGCCCAGAGCCTGTTTCACTTTGGACATGATGAGGGACTTGGCAATCTTGTACCGGAATCCCCCGGAGCTCTTTCTGCGAGAAGTTGCGGGCAAAAAGTTTAATTAGCTTTGTTGACTGATGAGTTTTGTTGAAGGCTGGATGGGGTGGGTATGGCTGTACTGTGATGGGATGGGTGGTGTTTGTGAATTAGGTGCACCTCAATAAACAAGAGTACATAAGCTGATTGTGCAAATGAAAATATGCAATAATGAAACTGCACACTAATTAGAAATCTGCCATCTATATGTTGAACAACGTTTGCATTTGCCCCTCCTTAAATAACATCTGCAAGCGTAGTGTATATAAGAATCTTTTGCAATAAGCTTAAACCTTACTGGCTCTTACTACTTTAAAATATGCAAAGCATTCGTAAAACATTAATACCTAGTATATATAATTTTAAAGATAAGGAATATCACAAGTTTCGAGTTTCACCCAATTACTGTTGATTTTTGTTTGGTTTTAGAGCGCCTGATGGGCTTCGTAATGCTTCAATCACTGCTCAAGTACTTGCACCTAAAAGGACCTCCCCTTCTAGGTCCACACCCGCTTTTCGTTTCCTCATTCATCGGTTTTTACTTAAGAGAACGTGCCCGCATGGCATGTCCTGGCTTTGCTCCTAGTCCTAGTCCTGCTCCTCCTGCATTTGCTATTTTCTGGTAAATGCCAGAACAGCATTAGCAGCGGGAGTTGCCGGCGTGTTCCACGTGACGTATGAGTAATGTTGTTGTCAGTGATTTTCGCTTAAACCAGAGCGAAGAACGCTCCCGGCCCTGCTTGCCTTGCATAATTTAGCGGCCAACAAAACACGGCACACACCTACACCGAGAAAAATATCCATGTAATCTTATTTACAGATCATTGAACACTCTTTTTTTATCAAATTATTACACTTCCTAGTCTAAGTTGTAATATCGAAATTGTATACAGCTATTGATTTAAAGACATTAAGTAGCCCAATCGCAATATATTTCGTGCAGTGCACTTAAAGCCTTGTGGAGAATCAGCTCCTTGGCCAGGAAGCTGGCCGAAAAGATGGCTGAGACATGAAAAATGCAGGAATGGGAGTTGGGAATGGAATTCTGTCGTTGCAGCCACTTTAACTGTGCATCCTTTTTGCATAATTTATGCGCACACAAAGTCGGAGTTGAAGTATTTGAAGTAGAGGCCTCATCGGGGGAATACTTACCCTTGACTCACCATGTAGTGCTTCAGCGTGATGCCCTTGGCCCAGCTGGCGAGCATCTTCTTCAGGCTTCCGCTGGAGCTGGCCACGGCCACCATTCGTTCCTGGAACTTTTCGTACACACGCGGCACACCCATGAAACGCGTGGGTCGTGCATCTTGCAGTGATTTCACCAGCGTTCCCTTCAATGCATCCTTGTCGGCAAACCAAATGCATCCGGCCACAAAGGCACAGGTGTAAATGTCGACGGTCTGGGCGGCCACATGAGACAGTGGCAGGTAGGAGACGATCGACTCTGCCCCCACAACCACCCGGTCCATGGCCTTGACAATGCCACGCACATCGAAAGTGATGTTGTCGTGGGAGAGCATCACGCCCTTGGGCATACCCACTGTTCCGGAGGTATAAACCAGGCAGCAGCACTCGTTGATGGCCACGTTCTCCAGGCGAGTTTTGTATTGATCCTCCACATCGCTCACGTTCATGGACTCAATCTCCGACCACTAAGGATTGTTAAGTAAAGTCAAGTGTCATATTATAAATCTGCTTATCATTCAACTAACCCTGTAGTAGCCATCCTCCTTCTTGAGGTATGGGGCATATGGCTCCTGGATCTGAATGGCGGCCTTCAACTTGGGCAGCTTATCACGGATGGCATGGATCTTCTCCATCTGCTTGGCATCATCCACGACAACGATCTGGGCATGTGAGCTCTCCAAGACATGCTGTACTGCATCGGCTGAGTTGGTGGTATAGATTCCTGCAATGATGCCACGAGCATGGATGGCACCCATGGCCGAGTAGAACCATTCGGCGCAGTTGAAGGCCAACACACCCACCGAATGGTGCTCCTCCAGACCAAGCTTGATGAAGGCCTTGGCCACCTGGTGCACCTTCTCTTCATATTGTCTGCAAGTGATGGTAGGTGGTTAAGCCATTTAGCGTTAATTAAATCATCCGCAAATTGGCAATTGGCAAGGAATTCGATTAGCGGTACTCACTTGTAGGTGACAGTTTGATACCCGTTCTTGCCGTTCTTGGTGCGCAGTGCGGGATAGTCGCCATAATTGTTGACCGTGCGCTTCAGCAGGCCGGGCACTGAGATGGGCTCCTCGGCACCGATTCCATCCTTGGCCAGCCGAATCTTGACGGCATCTTGACGGTTGGTGGTGCGATAGGCATCCGCCTGCCTCAGGCGATTGGGACCAGGACGATTGTAGAGCGCGTCGGTCATGGTGCAAGTCTGGAATTGAGTAGTTAAAAGTTAATTACTTTAAAAGAAAATATAATATGAAATCTATAGGTTGGATCAAAATCCGTGTTATAATTGCTCTTCATTTCGTATTGATATTGGCGTGACTGGCACAATTATATTTATTACATATGAAATGAGAACTTCCGACAGTAGGCAATTATAAGCTATGACTTCTGTTAATAAATTTGATTTAAATCTATTTAGTGGAATATCAGTAGTAGTAATCATCATTCTCGAGATTAAAGAAATTTGAATTCCATATTAACTTATTAGATACGTTTTATGTGGTTTTAATAGTCTTTTATGAAGCAGGAAGTTTAATCCAAAAGTTTAGAGAAATTTGCCTTGTCGACGAGAATCATACGATCTATGACTAAAGTTCCTAGCCATACTTCTTTCTTACCATTCTAGATAAGACGCACACTTCAGTTGGCCTATGTCAAGGCTTCTGTTAAAAGGCACCTCTTATCGTACGCGTTTAACTTGGCACCTGATTATAAGGTGGTAACCAGCAATGTCAAGGAAGAACCAATGATATGGAATAAATTTAGCACTTTTTCGTTTCTTTTGGTCATAAAAACAACATTAGAGTTACTAACTATTCGCATTATTATGGTATAATAACTTATCTTACTTTGGGCTCTTATCAAATTCGGAATATCAGAAGTCGCTGCTATTCGACAGTGGTGAGTTCTTTGAATGAGTTTTATTTTCGCGGTGCAAAGGCCAAGAATCGTAATTCTTGATATCTACAATAATGTCTGCTTGTTTTACTTTGCAGCTTTCGGTTTTTTATTAATCAATAAATTCTAGGCAACTAAGCATTGATAAGAACCAAAATAAGCAACGTGCTGCAGGGAAATTAAGAATGAAAGAGCCCAACAGCTGACATAACAGTCAGCTGAGTCCAAAGGGTCAGCCAGTAAATTCCCGTTTATGACCAAGGAAACTTTATAATTATTATGTATTTATTGTGAAGAAGTTACGAAGCAGATTGATGGGTATAAAAAGCATAAATGATTGGCATTTCATTGAGTTTTAGTAAGTTTTAGATTGATTCATTTGAAAGTACCCCAAGGGCAAAGCACTATCAGGTTAATGGAAGTGCGTCTTTCCCTATTTTTTATTGGCAGATATGGGAGGTACCTACAGACATTAACATATTTTACTCGAAAATCATAAATCACTGGAAAATAAATATCAGTCTGCTGATAATAGTTCAAAGTGCTTAGAGTGGCGCACGCAATCGGGGCATGGAGAAATGACTGAGTAGTTATTTTCTTAGTATTAAATATAATTGTTAGAAAACAGCAATTAAATATTCTAGAAAATGCAGTTAGTAGTGATTTTTCAATGAAAATAACTATTCAAACGGGAAACCCGCTGTAATTATCAACTTCGCATAATACTGAAAAGGGGTGCGCCATATATGTTCTTATGATCCAAAGTGGGCTGAACGGGAATCTAATGAGCTGTGGAGGGAACTATAAAAACCGGCTTTTCGATAAGTGAGAACGCCGAGACATTTGTCATCGCGTGATGATCGGGGTGGAAATGTTGGGCGCCCAAAAAAATGTTAAGAACTACGCACTGAGAATATTTTTGCGCGGCACAGAAGTTGAGTATGAAAACAAAAACCGATAATAGGCCACACACAGCATCTAAAAATATTTGGCAACTATTTGATGGCTTTCTGCTCTCCAAAAGACATTTCGAAAGTCTGTTGGATCGGGAGATAGAGAAAGAGAGAAGAGGAGAGACTAACAAACGACCGTGATGTAAAAGAGGCTCGATCGAAGGCAAGGTGAAAAAGAATAGAAATTGGGGGAATTCGTGCGGCGAATTCAAATCTTGCCGAAATCAGGCGATGACAATGAACCCGCCGAAAAAGTGCACTGACCCACAAATTAGATTTAGACAATACGAATTTCACGTGTTGCCCGGAAGTCACGAACTATCATCTAATCAACTTTTTGCTCTTCAATTGTTCTATTCATAACTCTTTTTAGCTTCTAGTTGTTTTCGTTCGTTTCCCCTTGGCAAACTTACATAATTAACTAGTATTTGCTGTTTGGTTTTTATGGAGTTCTCGATATTGGTTCGCAAATCGACTGCCGTCTATTTCGTATACTCCCACTCTTTCGCTCGACAAACACGACAGCAGCACACACACGACCGAATTCAGCGAGGGCACAGCGTGAACTGAACGCCGTTCAGGATCGGATGCTATAGGAAAGTCTCCGGCCGACCCGCCGGGGCCTCCGATCGCTCTGCCAGCGGCTGCGTCGACGTCAATGTCGATATGGGTTCTACCTGTTACTCTCTTATCATCAGCATGCGATCGGCCTGCTCGCTCGCTTTAGCTGAGTGTGAATATAGGCACTACATCTTTCTGATTGTTCTGACAATAATAATTGTATAAGTTCTTATCAGTGGGGATTGGTGGAACTATGGATATGATAAAACTGGTATGGGGGTAATAAGTTCTATTAGGATAATTAAAGATTTATAGATAAAAAAAGATTTATTTTTAAAAATCAGATGTCATGACAAAACAAACACTCCATCTTGTCATTAAATTAAAGTTCCAGGAAATGAATTGCCATAATATAGAACATCTAGAGCAGTAAATTTGAAATAATTTACATGGTAATTCCTCTAGTGAATACATTTAGCGATCCGATTGATAGCCCCGGGAATACAACGCTTATCTATTTGATTTTTACAATTACGCATTTGAATAATATTATGAAACTTCGATCGTAATCAACCTTGAGACGGCTTCGGAGGCCTGTCATTACTTTATTAAATAAAATAAATAATATTCTTACCTGGGCAACCATATTTTGGAAATCCCCTTATCTGTATATCTTAATATCCTTTAAACTTTAATCACAAGTAGCCCAAGTTATCACAAATAGGCTTTCTTATAAATAAGTTTTTAAACCGAACAGGTGTTCGGCTAAGAATGGACTGCTGAAAATCTGCAAAGTCAAGCTCTTTTATTTTAATGGGGGGCCAAGATAACTGACATTCTGGGAAGGTAACAAAGATAAGTTGAGTAATTTAATTAAAACGGGAAGAACAGCTGATCCAGAAATATAAGCTATGAATAGCGAGATGATAATAACCAAGTGATTCACAGAAATTAGACAAATATTTAGTAAATAATTCAAGGGCTTAATAAACGCTGATATCGGCAACGCGTCAGCAAATACGAGGGCTATATAAACAATAGGGAGATTCACCTATCGATTTGCACTGTTGCCAATGGTTCTTTACCTTTGGCATGGCATTTACTTTTTGTTTTTCTTGTTTTTTTCGGCGATGTTATAGCTCTTATCGTGGTATACAAGCTGGAAAGCAGTTTATGATCTGATAAACACGGCACACTTGACCAATGGATGGCTATTAAACTGCTGCCACTAATACTATACAACAATATATCAAGCGGCAATTCCCTTTTAAATTTATGCCACATCCGTGGACATAGTTCCACCTGGCCACGGGTTCAACTTTTGTTGCGGAATTTAATTTGCCACAGTCATGGTTTCTATACAGCTGATACAGCTGATTATCCCATGAAATTTACGGTTATCTGCAAGCGATTAGATAGTATAGCTCCTGGTTCGTATAAATCACAACTTACTAGGATCTCCCCGATTAAAATGTCTATAGCCTGTCCGACCGACTATCTTCACTCAAATCTCTTCCAGCTTATAATGTAAGTACATTCGATTACCCGCATGCAGTATTTCTGAATAGATTATATAAAAATCTGAATGCTAGGTGCAGCCTTATCGCCTTCATGCTAACGCAAAATGCGATAATCTTTCTGAATTATTTTTAAAACATTCCCAGTACGAGCAATGGCAAAAATTAGTCAAAAATATTTCGTTGTTTTATCAGCCGGGCAAGGCATGTCCACCAATTCGCGTGGCTCCTCCAAATGCGGGCTTTCACCTGTGGGTTATCCCGCTTCCACTTTCGTTGATAATCCCCATTACTTAATCCGCGAAGATGACAATTTCTTAAATATTTCATTGCCCTGCATTTTATATATTTCAGATTTTTAGCTTTTTTATTGATTAGGATCATAAATTAAGATATTCGAAACCTTTTGGTAAGGATAGTCTAATCTCCCAAAAGCTTTCTAATTTTTATATCTAACCTAAATTTATCCAAACTTAATATTATGCTTAAATATTCAACAAAATATAATTTAGCATGTAAATCAAGTTTGTTGTCTATAATTTCTACAACTTTTTGATAATAAGTTTTGCTCAGACTGTAAAAGCTTTCTAAAGCTCTTCCCGCTAGCAAAGATGCGCACCTCTGGAAAACTCTACACAGCTTTGTTACATGTAGAATTTAATCTTACACGTTGGCGCAGTAAAAAGTAAATTAAATCAGTTCCATCTAGAGTTAAACTGGCAATCGCAATTCGATTGGAAATTGTCGTTTATTCAGACAAGAGTCGAGCATAAAGCGAGCATCTATCATTGAACTGTCTCCCGGATTTTATTCCCCTATAATATGACAAAATAACCCGACGACGAGCTCTGATTCCGATGTCATGTTAATGAGATTGTCATCATCAAAGTTGGCATCGAATTACGTTCGCCTGAGCTGCACAAAGTTCCACTTATTTACCTCCATCGCCGCCCCCACTAAACGCATGCAAATGATGTGATAATAATGTCGCTAGGGGAAAGGGATTTTAGCAGGTGGCTTTGCCCATGGACATACTCGCATATGTACAACGAAGGTTTATTTAAAAATAACGCTTAAACCAATTTAAACAAGAGGTAAGCAGAAGCTATAAACGTGTCCGGGCATTTCAACAAGTCCGTCGTTGGGAGGAGGAAAAGGGTCCTTTGGTCGGGGCAAAACGGTCGGGTTAGCATTACAAGTGTTTGGCTAATTAGCTCAATTTAATTGTGCGACACCAGCACAAAGACAGGATCTCAAACAAAATCAGACAAACGAAAGTGAACTGCATATAATTGACTTGACACGCCCCCAAAGAATCCAAAACAAAGAAACTTTAAGAAAATTTAGGAGGCGAGAAGCGCATTTGGTTTTGGGGAAAGACTTCTTTGTTTGTTAAACAAATTATTGCCCTGATCAGAGTATCGACTATTGTAGAAATATTTAAATATAATATTTTAATTTTATATATTTATTTTAAATACTCGATAAAATTAAATTTAAGTTCCGTGTTTTATAAATAAATATTTATTTCTAGAATATATGTCACATAATTTACCTTCGTACTTTTATTTCTCTTGCCACAACTGATTAATATCTGATTTTCCTTGATATTAATATAAAAATGCGATAAAAGCTCTTTTATTCTCTTTAGCGATCCCTGATTTCAGAGGTGAAACTTTTTATCAGGCTTTCACCTGGTTCTATGGTGTAATGGTTAGCACTTTGGACTCTGAATCCAGCGATCCGAGTTCAAATCTCGGTAGAACCTTAGTGACTTAATTTTTTTATTTACTTTTTTTATATAGGTTTTTATTTTTAAGTTTAAATTAATATTTGTTTTTCCTTAATTGCAGTTTAAAATAAGAATAAGTTTAAAAAAATCATTGTTGGCCGAGTGCATTCCTAGAATTGACCGACAAAATCCGCAACGTCTGTCTTTGGCCACGGAATTTTCTGTTTCAATTTAACAACAAGGCTTCAACGAACAATCAAACAAACCCAACAATCGCAGCCAACCGAACACAGACAACTGCATTTGCATATGTATGAGGGCTTGTCTGCGTTTCAGATTCAGTTTCAGTTACAGCTTCTGTTATTTCCTTTTAGCTTTAACTGCAGCGAATAGTTTTGGGTCTCCAATAAAACGGCATTGGCCATAAAAAGTGGCAACTCATTTCGCGCTGAAAGATACGAAATGCCTGAAAGCCAAACAATTGAAAATGTGGAGCTCTCTTTCATTAGCCACTTTGGCTGCCAACTTTGGACCCAACAACATTGTTTTGAATAATTTGTCAGCTTAAAGTTTTTCGAGGGAAACATGGCGGCAACTCGCACCCAGTGAAATAGAGACTATCAGCAGTCCGGAGATTCTACTTGACTTTAGCTGACACTAAGCTTGCCATTATGAGTGTTTAACCAGCCAGCAGAGTGGCCAGTTAGTTTCTATCTCTGGGTAGCAGTTAAAGTGGTTGAAAAACATGGGTAATAGAAATACGGCAATGGAAAGGTTGAACTTAAAGAGACTCATTGATTCAAAGATGGATGAATGGTCAAAAGCACTCTTTAATATGAACTAACTTTTATGTTGTGTCACTAAATCATTTCTTTGGTTACCGTCCTGAAAATCCATTTATAATTTTGCAAAATTTTGCCTTCCACGCAGTTTGCCCAAAACCTTTAATCAATTATTCGCCCTATTGACCTTTGACCTGGGGTTCACCAATAACAGAACCCCTACAAGGAGAACAAGGCATCAAACACTGGATGCTAATAATAGCAGCCGTCGGAAACCTTAATCAATAATCGATATTTGACAAATTGCGTAACAATTGCTACAACGTTTGGCTTTAATTTCATACCACGAGTGTCGCCCTGTCAAAAGCTAATTAATTGGATTGGCTAAATTGGAGAGCTGGCCACTTGACCAGCAGCTCCACTCCTCTGCTCCTCCAGTTCACTTGTCAAATTTTAATAATTTAGCTCTTGAGCTGTCCCAGACAAACTGAAGCTGTCAGCGATAAGCCAGACAAGCAACAAAGACGAACATTTTCCAGCAGCTTTTCTTAACCCCTTTCGGTGAACTTGTTTTGGAGATAACTGTGAGGGGAGTGCGGTTAGTTTGGGCCAGGTTAGGTGGAAAACTGTTAACGTTAAACTAAACGAGATTCGTCTCGTGGCGTTTATTTAATGCGCTTCGTTGATTCGCTCACACATAAAACTCACCGAAAATCTTTTTGATTGCATTTAATGTGGCGAGGTGCGATTGTTATGGCTTTCCTCCTCCCCACTCACATCTTCCACATGATGCAATAAATTGCGAGCATTCGCGTTGCCCATTAAACTCGGAATAGGTCAAACATCACATGGTTTATTAAATTTAATCACTAGTGTCTCTACGCGACAGTTGCCCATGATATCCAAGTGGATTTATAGCTTTCAAAGGAAATTGATTTTTAGCTGAGTGGCGGCTACTTGAAGTCATTTGATTCAAGTGATGGGAAACTCATTATCAAATCAAGTAGCCTCGAGTTCAAACATTAAACATTTTCCAAGCTAAAAGAGTCGTAAAACTTTATGTTAAGTTTATTGAGTTTATTTAGCTTAGCTAAGTAGTGGAAAATACAAATATATCCACAAAATTATCTTATTTCAAGACAAGGTATAGACTTGATTCACACCTCTCAGGATCTCTCTGGGTTAATCACCTTAAAGTTCACCAAATATCATCAGTCTAGTCTGCGTATTCTATTACGATAAATGTGCTTCACTGATAAGGGGCGACACTATAATGATCTTTGTTTGGTACTTGTTCTGAAGATAAATGGGAACCTAGTGGACTTTTCTGTGGATTGCAACACAATGTCGCCATTCTATCTAAAATCACGGTTATCGGCTGGTCGATAGATGGCGGAAGTCCAAACATTTGAGGCACACATTCAGTGCTGGGCATACCATTATCGCTAGGGAACACCGATTTTATCGTTGTAAGTATAATAAATACAAGGCTAGTGAGTTGCTCAATCGGTCCTTGATCAAAAAGTATTGAGAAAACGTTGCCCAAGGTTCTGTAAGTTTGTTTTTCCTTTGTGGAAACTTCAATCTCTAACTCTGGCTTCAGCACATTCTTTTTAGGTTCCATACGTTTAAGCTTTTTTGTGTGCTTGTCATCTGAAGGCTTATTGTGAAGCAAGATTGGCCTTTTCACGATCTTTTCTTACTTCGAGCTCTTTAGTACCTTGCTGCTCAGACTTAAGAGCCGCAGCTTTCATTTCCGCTGGGTTTATATACATATAGGTATTGAGAACATCAAATAGAATATCTAACCTTACTTACTAATTTTATTAACGTACTCAAGCCAGTCCGTGCTACCATAAATATCCAGACTAACCAACAGATCCTTCAGCGACCTCGTGAACTTAGGGCCATTCTTCCGCGAACGCCGATTTCTTTTACCAACTTTTGTACTCATAATTCCTTTTATACAAAAAGGCTAACAAATTTTGTACAATATTTTAAACAATGAATTTCTAACTGGTCAGCTTGTGAAAGAAGTATGAATGATATAGATTCTACCCGTAATGATACTATATTCTACCCTTACTTGATTCTAGAAAAGATTCCCATCTTTGTTAACATTCTTGCCAAGAATTGTCGCATTGAACTTTGACCAAGCACGTTGGACAATATTCTCAGCAATGAAGCCAACTTGTCCATTTACTTTGCATAAAGAAAACATTTTACTGCAGGTTTCCTTGCCCAACAATTGCATTTCATCGGATTTCAGATTGCATATACTTTCTTCTTTTTTTGGGATTTGATAAATCGCGCCGATAAAGAATTATGAAGCGTATCCACAAAAACAAATATGCAGGGTGACCGAAAAAACGAACCGAAGTACAATAACAAAAAACCCAATATAACAATTTTCATAAAAAATGAATGCTGCAATTTTTCGCTGTGGCCGCTTTTAAGTGCTTGTAAGTGAATGCACATGTATGAATAAATATTTGTTGGAGTTTTTTTTGTATGAAAACTTTTATTCGAGTGCACAACTTTGGCTTTTATGAGTAGACAGAAAGGATTGAAAAATGAAAAGCATTCATATTATTTCAGGGAAAACCTAATGAGAGTACCTAAGTAGTTTTGTAAGTTAAAACAATGTTCGAAGTAATTTTTAATTTAATTTATTTAATCTTCTTAGCTTAAAGCTGAATTTTGGATAAGATATTTCACTACCCACTGGACAACAGTAATCTGCACATCAAATAGTAAACATGCCAGGCACATTTTTCTATATATTCTAATGAGATTTTGTGGCCAACTGAATCCCAAGTTAAATTAATTAGCTTTTTTATCGCGCTTATCATTGTGACAAATTTAATACAGCCATAAAAACTTACTATCCCAGCCAGAGGATTTGGTATCCCGAAAATAAAAACCTTTAAAGGGCCAACAATGTGCGGCAATTTATCAACAAATTAACGCCCACTGGAAAAACGCCGGCAAAGTGTGGAAAAATTGCCGCCTCATTTGGGCCAGGATGTCAGAGGTTCGTCTTAGGGCAAGGTCAATGGCCAAAAGGCCAGTTCCTAAGCTCCTTACCAAATCCGCGGTAGTCTCTGGCCAACCATAATAATAATCAATATTTGCTGCGATGGTGAAGACGACCAGAGGAGACACTGAAGAAATCCCAAGTTGCGTGTTTGACATGTCACCCGAAGCCAACTGGACAAAGGCAGGGGGTAAATTTGGCTCGGGGCTTAGGAAAACGAGCAGCCAGCAGAAATTTCACGATTTGGTATCGTCAACAACAGGAAGCACATTAAGCATAGGGACTCCAACCGCCAAGTGTGGGGGAAAATGTGGAGAAGGATAATGGACGAGGTGGTGGCGTGGACTGTTCTCGGGGACATTTAAATTGAAATGGCCTATGATTTGGCAGATTTTCTTTTTTTTTTGGCTTGACTTGCTTAAAGTTGAGCCTCCTCAAGGACGACAGAACACGCAGCACGTACACGAAAAAAATAGAAAACGAAACAAGACAGGAATGGAATGCGTCGGGTCAGAGGATACTCAAACGATTGCTTTTCATGGTGATGGGAATAGTTTATAAGAAGATAACAACTTTCAGTTAACCTAAATATGAGTTGGGTAGATTCACATATATCCCTTCAAGAGCTGTTGTTTATTTGGCTGCATAGGTATAAAGTGATTTTGTTTAAAAGAAACCTTTAAAGTTATAAATTGTATTTAGGTTAAGGCTACTTAACAAACATTTGCTTTTAAATTATAAAGTAAATAAGAAACATCTATTTATAAAAACCACAAGTCCTTTGGTACCTTCTTTTAGCCATTATTAAGCTGCAGAGAGTGAATAAATTCCCAGAGACATATTCCTCTGGTATCTGCAAGACATCTTAATGAAAATCACAATATGGCCATGTCAAGACTTGAATAATCAGAGACATGAAAATCTGCATGTATAAGCTGTTTCTACTGTCTTTCAGGTTTAGAAAATATCGTTACCTCGCACCAAATAATAAATATAAACTTCAGTTGTGTCACACAATTTATGCAGCCGTAGGCAATCTACATGTAAAACGCTCAAATATATGTCTTACCAACATTTATTTTCATTTTGAATTATGGGACTCCTCCCACAAACATCGAAGCCCAAAAACTAAACCTAACCAAACGAACAGGAGAAGTAAATTAAAAAAAAAAGTATATAAATAAATAAACCACAAGGGCAGAGCAAACAAAAAACCAATAGAGATATAGAAATGGAGGGACATATATAATATAACACGGGAAAAGTGGGAGTCGGAGTGGGTGTGGCATGGACCCGGACCTTGACGTGCGTGGGCCCGATAAAAATTGTGTTGTGTTGCCTACTTTTTGGGCCGCCATTTGGACCATCCACAAAAGGGTAAAACCAAACCAGTCAAAAGTTTTCTAGTCCAAGGCGCGTGTGTCGGTCAATGAACTCGGCCCGTCTAATGAGCTTGTTCATTGGCATTTGATTTATGAATATGTGCCTCGATACGAAATCTAGACAATTCATTGCGTGGCTCAATTCAAGAGTTCCGGACTAATCGCACTTTATGTGAAAAAACATGTCGTATACTTAATTCTAACCAGTGAAAATTGTGGGTGGAAAAATGGTATCTGGCGGGAAGATACGGGCTTCATTCGACTGGCATGCAGTCTATTTGCATATTTATCTAAGGCTCGGAGCTCCAACTGGTGACAACACATCGCCTCTGCCCTTGTCGGATTTGCTAGGGGTAAAAGTAATGGCACTTTGATGAGTTGTTCGCAGGGGGCGCAGTATGCACTGGTTGTGCAAATGGGGGTCAAAGGTGCAATGCCAGCGCTAAAATACTTGGGGATTATGTCGAGCCAGTTTCAATATAGTTGCAAAGCTGAATTAAGCTGTATTAAAAATGTGCAGAGAGAAAAATGAGGCCACAAACTCGGGGGAAATATGAAAATATCTAAAATATTCACAAAAAATTACTTCAAAAACGTTTTATACCTATCCAAACCTATTCTTTTTTACACATCTCTAGGCTCATACTTCGTAATATTATTTTTTATCAACTTTATAAAATAACATCTTGTCAATCCCCGATTCTAATGTACTGTAGAGTTAAGTGAAAAAACTAAAAACGAAAATTCAAATCAAATATTTGTGCTACGGCCCAGTGGAGCAGCAGGCTGGGGTCAGAGCCTCGACCGCCCCCATTTTGCCCATTTGAAGGCGCAGTGGGATTGCGAGCTTGACAACATCCTTAGATTGGTTTGTGCTAAAGCGCGCCAGGAACGCTGCTCGAGGAAGGCATGAAAATTGGCGCACAGCAGACATGACAAGGCAACCGGGCACCAGGGCACCCGGCCATCCTGGCAGACAGGACAGCATCCAGCGTCCCCATTTAACCCGGCTAAATGGCAGGGTGCAGCGAGCACATGCATTGGCATCGCCAAACAGGATCAACAGGAATTTGCATTTTATGGCGTCTGCGAATGCATTACCCCAACTGCCAGCCCTGCCCGTCCAACAAGCTCTTTGCGGATTGAGCCCGCGCCTGACCCTGTAATTGTTTAAATTAAGTTTCGTCGAATAATGCCAAATGCAATTAAAGTCAAGCGAGAGCCGCAAATTATGTGGTCGCTGTCACTTGATTCGCAGGACGTAGAGGATCCTTGTGTCCTTGTCGCGGGCCCTTCACATTTTTCGGGGGCAATTAAAATGTCAGAAATGTTGGGACACCACTCGTCCTCGGTGTTACTTTACAGTTTTAATTGTCTCTGACAATGCAGCTTGTTTATCTTTTGCTGTGCGAAAAGCAACAAACGTGAGACAGGAAAGTTCAATGGTCAGCAAACTGTGACGAACAGTGGAACCTGGTAAAGGTAAGGTAAAGGTTTTTAAAAATAAGATTACTAAATTAGTTACAATCTCATATTACAGCAAGAAATTATTTATTAGCATGAATGTAAAATAATGTTTTTACTTCAAAACGTTGATTTTTGGTTTCTATTTCTTAAATTCACTGAACTGTCGTTTATCTAACCAGTTTATTGTATTGGATGTTGACTTTGTTTTGTCCCAGATTATGCCATAAAGTATTTGTCAAATAAAAACGAAATGCATTTGAACGCTTGGTTGGGTTTCCTTCACATCCTTCACAACTTAGAATGGGAACCTTTTTGGTTGGCAAGCGATATCCACAAATTTGCTGTAATTCGAGTTTTATGCAGCACTCGACATGCAATTTTGTGTGCTCCATGCTCATCTCGGTTGTCTTCGGTTTCACTTCTCGCTTTCTCCATGGGCATTTCCCTTTCCCCATCCCAAGGTCCGCAGTCAACTGTCACACACACATAACGAATGAGAGCTAAATGCTCCCGTCTTGGATATTTTCCATCCTAGCCATCAATGTGCCAGGGTTCGTAAGTAGGTCGATGTGAGTAAGGAAAAGAGCATGGGAGTAGGTTCAAATGTTGCCTGCTGACTTATGCTGCATGTTTATTGTTTGGACATTGATCCCATATTTCCCAAATGAACCAGAACTAAGCTAGTGTTGATGGGAAAATATATTTCGCTTGATGCTTATGACAGGAAAACGATATACGAAAAAATCCTAGATTTAATTATATTGAATTATCTGAAATAAATATATGATAAAGCTTCACTTTTACGGCGAAAAATCAGGATGGACCAAATTTTGAGTTTTAGAAAAGGGTTAGCATCATCTAATTTTGCTAAAAATGGCCAAAAATTTACATTTTAAACTGTGAATGCTTTTTTTATTTGGGAATTGAATAATAAACTCAAAAAGATTTGACACTCCATATTCCGACAAAATTTGGCTTAGTTATGGCCAACATTTTTAATAAAGCGAACATCCCATGTTTTGGCCTTAATTCAAAATTTCAGCAAGTGAAAACTAACATTTTTAATGACCTCGTTTTTTAAATGAAATTTTTATATTAAAGCCGCTTGTTAATTGGTCAATCGATCATTTCATTTTCCATCCCCTTTTTGTA